GGGCTAGGACTATGGTATCGATTGGTTGAGTCTGTCGATGCCCTAGACGAGGTCCGGCTCCGCGAACGAATGACTACGCCCCTACGTTGCATATGCGTTGCGCGATACCCTAGTCATCCTACGACGATCCATCCGGGCGTTACGCGAATGTATGACCACGCCCCCCTCCCCCTAGCTATAATATACTCGGTGCCTTTCTTCCTAGGTGGCGAATATTGTGGTTGATCCACGGTATTATTTGCGAGAGTGCAAGAGAGTTTGAATTCAAGGAACCAAGCAGCAATTCTAGCTGCTCATCCACAAACTGGCTAACGTTACCTACTTACTCCTATCGCGAATGCTCAAACTTGATTCCCAAATATGCTTGTACGCAGGCCAATCAACACGCTGCGACATGTGAAAAACCAAACTCACCAGACTCTCTCCTCCCCCGAGAGAGTCTGGGTAGAGAGACTACACCCAAACATATTTCAAAAGAACAGGTTACCTCCTCTGGAAACCCGACAAGACAGTCACTAGCTAAGCTTGCAAATCGTAGCAATGCCTGCGCCTACTACATACTATGCAGCTTTGATCAACAATACATGCATGGTTAGCTAAGACAGTTACATTGCCCACATATCTGAAGCGAAGATGTCCTTTACCTTCTGTTTTGAGCTTGCAGCTCCCATGGCCAGTCTTCCGTAATGGTCTTGTATATACACTCGGTTTTGTAGGCCACGGACTCGTCCTCGCGGCCAATGGAAATTATGTGCACCCTGCGAGCGCGCATGCGTGTACAACCCGCGCGAATATATAGCTCTGCAGAATCTGACAACGGACATGCATATAGTACTTTGGCATGCATGAATCAGTCATCCCTCCTCCCCAAGTTGCTTTTTTATACCATCCCTTTTAATACTACCTAGTGTAATAGATGCTACTAGCTATTCTTTCATCTTTCTGTCTTGTCATCTTTAGCTACAGATCAGAGAATAGTCTTTCCAACTGACCTCTCAGCAGATGTCACAAGTAGTTAACATAACCTTCAATAGCGCCACAATGCAAGACACACTGCATGATAACTGCAGACAAAGACACGAACTAAAAAGGACCCTATGTTAGTATATAGATGGTCCAGGTGACTTGTTTGAGTTTGTGGCCACGACTGGCAATGTCTCTGGAGAGGGAGGTGAGGAGAGGACAGCCATGGAGGATGAGGATGGAGAGAGAGGGACAGTGGGAGAGGAGACACAGGACTCCATCACCTCTCACCTTCTCACAGTGACTCATGTCCAATTCCAGTTCAGTCAGTAATAGAGGGAGAGTCAGTGTCACCTTCAACAACAAACACAAAATGAAGAGGAGATGATTGTAGCAACATAATAAATGTGTCAAAAACAACAACAACAACAACAACAACAAGGCAATGGCAGCATAATGTACAGTTCAGCTGTAATGCTCTGTAGCTACCTTGAGAACCTTTGCACAGACCCCTTTAGCCAAGGCAGTAAGGCCAACTGAAGACACCTGCAAAAATGTTTTATTTTCTGAAACAGTGAAAGTGTGGCTTATTCTAAAAACACTCAGTTGTGTTAGTACACAGCCACACACACAGCATTACTCACAAGAAGTTAGTATACTACTCCATATTCGGGGTTTCCTGCCACAAACACTATGGGCTGGGAGTTGGAGGGTTATACAGATACTGTTGGATATTGCATGAGAAACCTGCAATACTACCCTCTTCCGCTTTCTTCTCTCCATCTCTCTACTCCATAGCTATTACAAAGCCCTGTCAATTAGTTGGCAACATACTCTCATGACGACGCTATTTTGCCACTGCAACGATGTGAATGCAGACAAAATTAATGGTGAAAAGTAAACCAGAGATTTCAGTTGGTGTACAATCAGTGGTATATAGCTAGTAGAGACAAAGTTTAGAGGGCATGTTAGTCCAGTCAAAGTCAGTCCAGTCATCCAGGACTGCAGTACGGACCAGAGCCTCACACACCAGGTAGGGATCACTGTTACTGGACGGCCGTCTGTCCTCAAGGTAGCCTCGACCAGCTGCACACACACACACGTCATGTGGGAGAGGAGAGAAAGTTGATATTGTCACATCATAATGAAAGTGCAAACCCTCGGCGAACTGCGCATGTACAGTGCCGCTATTTGATGGGCTGGGCTATTTGTAGTATATATGCGTTTACTCGTGGAGTAGCTCGCGAAGAGTCTGACACGGGCTAGCTACAGTAGTAGATAGCATGCGGGATTCGATCGTTGATACTTCTTGTGCCTACAAGGTACACAGAGCAAGCGGACCGGGTCGAGGTAAGCCTGTGCTAATTTCCGTATTGGCTTGTTCACTTGGTTTTCACCACATAACTTTAGAACACAGTAATTTTACGAAATGAAGCCATTGTAGCACTGAACCCGTTACTATCGCTCTTTGGCCGATTTCTTGCGCGTGGTGGCAGAAAACGTGGTAACAGACAGACGACGCACTTACGAACCAAGTACTTAACCCTCTAGCGCATGCGCGCCGAGGGTTAATTAGAGTGCAAACCCTCGGCAAACTGCGCATGCGCGGTACAGCTAATTGATGGGATGGGCTATTTGTAGTATATATGCGTTTACTCGTGGTCTCCCGCTAGTAGCTCGCGGAGAGTCGGACACTGGATAGCTACAGTTAGTAGATAGCATGCGGAAGTCGATACACGCCATTCGTTGTGACTTCATGTGCGTTCAAGATACACAGAGCAAGCGGAGGTAAGCCTGTGCTAATTAGCATATTGGCTTGTTCACTTGGTTTTCACGCCATAACTTATGATTGCCGAGCGCGTTAGCTTAAGACAACTACTCCGGGTTGTATTCTCGCCGTACGTACGTCGTCAATTAGTCACGCTTAGGAATGTCAATTAGTCATCAAAAGGAAGTGTAACTTCCGGCGTGCGCGCAGATTCGTAGGAAGTTTAAGAAAGAAACAAAGCATGAGGGTTCAGACCACCCCGTTCAGGAATGGGGCGGGTGGCAGGCATCGGTGGATCCATGCGGAAGCGTTTCCACGCCAGAAGGAGATGGCCAGCCTTTGAAATAACTGACGGGACGATTCAATTGGGGAAATCCCAAAGCGTTGGCCTATGAGGCGACCTATGTTGGAGATGGTGTCGGCAGTTGTGTCACTCAAGCCCCCGAGGGTTTCAATGGCAAGGGGGGTAAAGGAGATGCCAGCAGCCTGACACTCAGCACCGTGTGCAGCGAATTTTCGCTCCTCTTCCACGAGCAGAGCGTGGCCTTGGATTTCAGCGGCTGACCGGATGGTTAACTGTTGCATGGTGGATATGACTGTGATATCTAACGCGGCTGGACGACCGTCTTTCCAGCAGGGTATATAGGAAGACATCGGCAGGGCGATTCTGGGTGCCTGGGATGAGGCGAGGGAAGGAACTTCTTTGCGAGGCGCGAGGGCGGCAGTCTGAGCCGCTGAGAAAACTCCATCCCGCAAATAGTTGTGCCGGAAAATTCTGTCCGCATTCCACCTATGTAGTTCTTTACAGCTCTTCTCTTCACCAGCTTGTACCTCCATTAGAGGTTCATCATCACTTGGGATCTCAAATGGACTATCACTATCATCTTGCTTCGAACGTTCAACTATAATATGCTCATAAAATGACGATTTTGCGAGACTTAATTCCACAATGCGGGAAGTTTTGACGAACTCTAATGCGTTTGTTCACGGGAGTGTCGTCCATTGCATGGCAGGTGTCCCGCGATAAGTGGGCGGGGTAAAAAGTTAACACGTGCGCGTGCAGCAAAGTAGACGGAACGTATACTTCCCGTAAAGCCACTTGCGGTGGACGGGATGCGTAAAGCTCCCGCTTCACATACACGGTTGCAGACTGGCACTGTGCACTCCCGTATGCATCAGGACATTGTGCACAGCCCGTGTAACGCCGTGCCGCAGCTGAAGACGGGTATATACTCCGAGTACACCGTGATCATTACGCGTTTTTACTGTGGGAGTACCCAAAACACGTACACACGCTTGCCCAGTTTTTATAAATGAATAGTATAATTATACGCTTAGAACCAAAAACACAGTCTACTGAAGCCTAGATGATAAAATTCTGGAGATATAGCTGCTTTTATACCCGGGAGTAGATCCTCATCAAAGATCGGACACCATGTATATTCGGACAGGCCTCCAGAGCGTACGCTAATGATAAAAAATATCATTTAGTTATTCTATATCTAGGATGTAGTGTTACAAATGGCAATCCTTATTACCAAGTTTGGATCATTGACGGTGCTTTGGTTGCCGAGTTATGCCGTCGAAAAGGTCGACTGCCGTATTACGTACCATCGGACGTTTTCATCTACCGACGGACGCCCTGCAAATCTCCCTTCATCACGAAGATTTCTGGTGTATAACAACATCCAGTAAAAAGCGGAGTTAAAGCCATCCAACGTGCACTAAGAGGAGTCGCCTTCACGTACATTATTTTCGCGTACTCCGCGTAGTATTGCAGCTGCCTCGGCGATCTAAGATCGGACACGTCTAGCCGCACATACGCATCAAACTGACCCGCGTTTGATCTCCCTCCTTGCTTTAGAAGCTATGGGCGTAAGTAGCCGCGGGCACATAAATATGCCCAGAGCGTCCATATGTCTATAAGAATTTAATAATACAGTGCAGTGCAAATACTGTATTATAGCCCTATATATAAATTTTTATGGACTTATGGACGCTCTGGGCATATATATGTGCCCGTGGCTGGTAAAGGGTTAACACCACGCCCAAAGCATCCTACGGAAGCCCAGAAGGGCCATTCTATACTTCCGTTCTACGCGAACTTCCATCCTTCCATGTTTCCATCCTTCTATCCTTCCATACTGCGGGACTTCACATTTGCGCATGCGCAGTATTGTGTATGTCAATTTGCCATGTTGAGTACTCGAGTGCGCGGTCATGGATCGTTAAGCGTTTGCAGGCGATAATAATTCTGCGGAGTCTTTGTGCTCTAGCTCTGCAACCGGACCCACTGACCACGTATTTGCGGGCTCCTCGTCCTCGTCCTCCAGCTCTGCAGCTGGAGCCACGAACCCAAGGTTAGAGTATCATAAAAAAATCCATGCTGTGCAGTAGTACAATATATTTTCCAGCGTCCGTCCTGTCTTCATTTATAATATATATAATATATATATATCCGTAGGCACTACTACGATCCCCAACCAAGGCAGTTGTGTTTCTCCTGCTAGCAACGTGGCTGCAGGAGAAACACAACTGCAATTATCTTTAGGCACCCACTTGAAGAAGCATGTTATATACCTTAAAAGCTGCCCTGCATGAAATTGTGTTTTTGCTTGGGGGTTTTCAGCTAAATAATATTATTACGTATTCCACAGCTATTTCTGAGTAGAATGAATTGGCTCGGAGAGAAAAAAGCAACTGGTCCAGTCTCGAAAGAAAGGTGCTCGTATATAATAAGTCTTTGGAGTATGAAGATCAAGTTATGGTAACGGTGTATTCATGTTGTGATAAGTGACTGTTACAACAGTATTCCTCTTGATCATAGATACCAATTGGTAGGATGTACCACTGTTATAAAAGAAAGAAAGGGGTTCTTGATAGACAGTATGTGATGCAAAGCCTGGTTTTTAGAAAGGACATGAATTACCGGAGAATTTTAGAAACGTGTGTATCAGTTGTCTTCCCTGATGATCTAGAATCCAGGGAATGCGAATATTATATTGCCAATGGTAGGGGTATGAGTATTCATAGTGGCGATTTTATTCAAATCGACAATGATGACGGTGAAGAAGAGTGCATTCCGTGGACCCTGGAAGCATACATTCGATTGTAGAGTATTAGATATGCCTCTAAGGCTAGACTATAATATTGTGTCAAGAAGTTTATTGAAGGTAAGAACATACTATATAAGAGATTTAAAAAGTTATTAAGAGTACCTTTATACATCAAAGATGTGGAGAACCAAGAAGTGTCTGTGGTGGCTCCCACACCAGGTGAATCCATGGCGGATCTGGGCCACCAAGAAGTTTCTAGACCCACTCAGCGGGCATGTGCGGAAAGAGAAGAACAGGAGCAGCAGAAATCCCTTAGTAATAGCTATATAATGAAAAGCACTAAAGTGCAAACCCTCGGCGAACTGCGCATGTGCGGTACCGCTAATTGATGAGCTGGGCTTTTTATGCCTTTACTCGTGGTATCCCGCTAGTAGCTCGCGGAGAGTCTGGCACGGGCTAGCTACAGTAGTAAATAGCATGCGGGAGTCGATACATGCCCTTCGTTGTGACTTGTTGTGCCTTCAAGACACACAGAGCGAACGGACGCGGTCGAGGTAAGCCTGTGCTAATTTACATATTGGCTTGTTCACTTGGTTTTCACGCGATAACTTTAAAACACAGTAGTTTTACGAAAATCGCCTTTTTTAAAATCAGCCCAGTGTAGCACTGAACCCCATCATATCGCTATTTACCGGATTTCGTGCGCGCGGTGGCAGAAAACGTGGTAACAGACAGACTGACTGACTGACAGACAGACACACTTACGGGACAACTACCGTAACCCTCGCTGCGCATGCGCGCCGATGGTTAATTATATAGAGTTATATACAAGCATTAACATTTATGCATACAAGTGTCCCCCCTGTAGCTCACCTTGACATCAAACCCTCCAATGTCCTGGTGAGTTATATAGCAGAACAGGATTTGAAAGGAGCAGTTATAATATACCCTTTTCCACTTAGGTTGAGGAGGGGTCTTGGAAAGCATATTTAGGGGACTTTGGATTGTCCCAGATTCTGTCTGGAACTATTATAATCGGTACCAAACCAATGCTAGCCGGAAGTCCCGGGTTCCAATCTCCAGAGCAGCTACGAAATGAAAGCATTGGGCTACCAAGTGATGTTTATGCACTTGGTGCTGTTCTTCTTGTGCTCTTTGGGGAGGCTCCAGTATGGCCAGCACTGGCACCATTTCAGATATTATGTAGAGTGACTGTGTGCCACGAAACCCCTCAGACGAACCACCTCCCACCACAGATACAAGAGCTATGCAACACCTGCTTTGCTGGGATGTCAAGTCGACCACCAGCAAACCTAGTTCTTCAAAGAGGTTTGAATAACCACTGAACATAGTCATTGTCAAGTGTCCCATCAAGGGTTCATCATTAATAATCATAACGGTTATAATAATTGTGAGTCAAAATATCAATGAAAAGCACTGAAGTGCAAACCCTCGGCGAACTGCGCATGCGCGGTATATTAGTATGCGTTTACTCGCGGTCTCCCGGTAGTATATAGCTCGCAGAGTCTGTGCACGGGCTAGCTACAGTAGTAGATTAGCATGCGACACGCCCTTCGTTGTGACTTCTTGTGCCTTCAAAATACACAGAGCAAGCAGACAGCTAAATATAAGCGCATGCGCATTTTCCGCAGCGATAAAAATGGCCGACTAGCATTAGCCGTACAATGGCGGAAGCGCTCTAACTTCGCAACGGAGCGTTTTCAGAGAAAATTGTCCAATCGTTCTGACCTTCGTTGCCCGTTAAGTAGGTCGTATCGTTTGTGAGACGAACAGACGTTCGAGGAGTGAGATATAGAGTAACAGACAAACAGACAGACAGACAGACAGACCCAATGAAAAGCACTAAAGTGAAAACCCTCGGCGAACTGCGCATGCGCGGTAGCACTAATTGATGGGCTGGGCTTTTCTTTTCTTTACTCGTTGTATCGCGCTAGTAGCTCGCGGAGAGTCTGACACGAGCTAGCTACAGTAGTAGATTGCATGCGGGAGTCGATACATGCCCTTCGTTGTGACTTCTTGTGCCTTCAAGATACAAAGAGCGCGCGGACGCAGTCGAGGTAAGCCTGTGCTAATTACCATATTGGATTGTTCACTTGGTTTTCACGCCATAACTTTAGAACGCAGTAGTTTTACGAAAATCGCCTTTTTTAAAATCAACCCAGTGTAGCACTGAACCCGATCATATCGCTATTTACCTGATTTCCTGCGCGCGCTGGCAGAAAACGTGGTAACAGACAGAATGAAAAGCACTGAATTGCAAACCCTCGGCGCACTGTGATGCGCACACGTAAGTAAACGCATGCGCCGTACCACTAATTGATGGGCTGGGTTTAGTTTTAGCTGTTACTCGTGGTCTCTTGCCAGCTCACGCAGAGTCTGACGCGGGCTAACTACACTACTAGATAGCATGCGAGAGGCGATACACGCCCTGCGTTGCATCTTCTGGTGCCTCCGAAGTACGCAGAGCACGCGGATCGATCCGACTGTAGTAAGCCATCCCGTTCGTTGTGTATTTGCATATTGGTTTTTTCGCGCTCTAGCTTTGCAATGGAGCATTTCAGAGAAAACCGCCTTTATTTTCTGACCTTCGCCGCCCGTTGGGTAGATGGTATCGTTTCTGGGACGAACAGACGTTCGAGGAGTGAGATATAGACTAACAGACAGACAAACAGACAAACCCAACTACAGTACCCTCGCTGCGCATGCGCACCGAGGGTAATGAAAAGCACTAACCCTCGGCGAACTGGGGATGCGCGGTACCGCCAATGAAAATATAAGCGCATGCGCGTTTTGCGCAGCGATAAAAATGGCCGACTACGCATTAGCCGTACAATGGTGGAAGCGCTCTAGCTCTGCAACGGAGCATTTTCAGAGAAAACCCCACATATTAGTATGCGTTTACTCGCGGTCTCCCGCTAGTAGCTCGCAGAGAGTCTGACACGGGCTAGCTACAGCAATAGATAGCATGCGAGAGTCGATACACGCCATTCGTTGTGCCTTATTGTGCCTTCAAGATACACAGAGCAAGCGGACCCGGTCGAGGTAAGCCTGTGCTGAATATAAGCGCATGCAAATTTTCCGGAGCGATAAAATGGCGTCTAGGGGCATTAGCCGTACAATGCCGGATGCGCTCTAGCTTTGCAAAGGAGCATTTTCAGAGAAAACCGCCTTTATTTTCTGACCTTCATTGCCCGTTAAGTAGGGCGTATCCTTTGTGAGACAAACAAACACCCGTGAAGTGAGATTGAGAGTAACAGACAGAAAAACCCAACTACAGCAACCCTCGCTGCGCATGCGCGCCGAGGGTTAATGAAAAGCACTGAAGTGCAAACCCTCGGCGAACTGCACACTCGCGGTACCACTAATTGATGGGCTGGGCTTTTAGTATGCGTTTACTCGTGGTATCCACGCTAGTAGTTCGCGGCGAGTCTGACACGGACAAGCTGCAGTAGTAGATAGCATGCGGGAGTCGACACACGCCCTTCGTTGTGACTTCTTATGCCTTCAAGACACACCGATAAAAATGGCCGACTACGCATTAGCCATACAATGCTGGAATCTGCAACTGAGCATTTTCAGAGAAAACGCCACATATTTTCTGACCTTCGTCGCCCGTTGGGTAGATGGTACCGTTTCTGGGACGAACAGACATTCGAGAGGTGAGATGTAGAGTAACAGACACACACACAGACAGACTAACCCTCGCTGCGCAAGCGCGCCGAGGGTTAACTACTGTACCCTCGCTGCGCATGCGCGCCGAGGGTAATAATCGTCAAGTAGAGAAACAAGCTCCGCATTCAGCAACATAGCATCTCTTATAGAGTCAGGAAAGAGTAGACCACGGTGTACCTTCAGTTCATTCAGTGCCTGCAGAAACTCAAGGGATGCAGAAGGGTCCGGTTCCTCTGCATAATCTCCTAAGATCCGACGATGGTCGCCATTGCACAGGTTCAAAGTTCATTATGCCGCAAGAGCTATTGAATGCGCATGCGTAGGCATAAACGGCAGTATGGAAGAATAGAAGAATAGAAGGATAAAAGGATAGAAGAATAGAATGATGGAAAGATGGAAGGATGGAAGTTCGCGTAGAACGGAAGTATAGAATGGCCCTTCTGGGCTTCCGCATATAGCATCCGGAGGCAGCTGCAATACTAAGCGGAGTACGCGGAAATAATCTAGGTGAAGGCGACTCCTCTTAGTGCAGGTTGGAGGGCTTGAACTCCGCTTTACTGGATGTTGTTATATTCCAGAAAGCTTCGTGGTGAAGGGAGATTTGCAGGGCTTCCGTTGGTAGATGACAATGTCCGATGTTACGTAATAACGGCAGTCGACCTTTTCGACGGCCATAACAAAAGTGCGTCAATGATCCAAACTTGGTACGAAGGATTATCGATCATTTGCAACACTACATCCTAGATATATAGAAATCATTCTTCCCCTTCTTGCCAAACGACCTCACGTACTTGCATACAGCACTCATCAAACAGCGACACATGATTAGAGTAGTTCTCTACTACATACACCCAGCCGTCAGGTCCAGCAGCCATACCAATTGGCCCCCGCAGCTTTTGCTATGGACTTCCATTAGAATCTAATATCTGAACTCTGTTGTTGAGATGGTCAGCTACAAGTACGTTTCCCTTTCTATCAACAGCTATTCCCTGAGGCTTGTTGAATTCACCACTACCAAAGCTGCCATAAAGGTCGCAGGTTCACTGTGTCGAAGACATACACTCTGCGATAGGTTTCACTGTGGGCTGTAGCAAACGGAGTGTGGAAATGCAGTAGCCAACTGCGCATGCGTAATACGTCCTGTAGAATGTAGAATTTTGGTACCAAAATGAAGGTCTGCAGAGATCAACCACAACAAAAGGTAAAATTAGCTACCGAAAGGGTGGTTTCCTAGTAAGTATATACGTATATACTTAAGCACATAGAAGTGTGGCTTTTTGATAACCTATAGGGTGGCTCCATCGAAGGAGCCGTCCAGGGGATGGTCGGTCTGCGTCTGTCCTTCTCTCGGCCCCTCCAGGAGCCGCCAGCCACTTCCGTGACTGACACTCCACTTACAGAACAGGTCGCCCGCCCTCAGAGCCCACAGATGCTATTAGCTTTAATATCAATCTTCTCGTCGTTCACAACCCGTTGGTGCCACTCATTGGCCGCCTCGTAGCCTGTAGTGCTAGAACTCGCGCGGACGGACAGACAGACAGAACGACTACTGTAACCCTCGCTGCGCATGCGCGCCGAGGGTTAACTACTAGTGGAAATGCTTGGCATTCTTTGGGCGAGCGGAGCGAGAACTCAAAATTACGTATATACAACCATCGTCATTACTAGCTACGTATATACCTACAGGTAAAATGCATATAAGCTATTATGGCGTTGTCATATCAGGTTGAGTAAGCGCATACGTAGCTAGTGAAACGAAAGTAGCAACGGAAAGGTAATGTGCCCCCTCCCCCTCTCCATCTCTTAATCGTCGCTGAAAAGACAAGACTCTCTGTCGTGAGGACTTTCGACGGCCGGGCGTTCTGTCTGTCTACCTCTTGGACCAGAAGCAGTATCGTTGCCTTGCCCGCTCTCAATCTCGTGTAATCATCCCTGAAAAAGACGATTTTGATTTTCTCGACATTGAAAGTGCCGCACGGTTACGCCACGAGCCATAACAAATGAAGTCAGACCCCACGACCCTCCCCTTTCCAGAGATATCTGAATCCATTTGCCTGGCATTCTCCTTACAGTTCTGCTGAACGCTCATATCCTGCCAGGCGACCCTCAAGCTTCTACTCAATTTCCCTTACAACACAGAGGCACCTATCAATCGCAATCATCATTCCGTATACTACACTCATGGTTAATCATGCGAAATGCCGTGTTGTCTGCGCTAGGGACCGCGCTCTGCGTAGCATCAGTCATTGACGCGACAGTGCCGCTTTCTACCTCTGCCTAGCTAGGCGTCACAACCGTGGGGGCTTAGGTAGTATATACTAGTAGGCGAATGTATGCAAGACGAGTGTATCTGAACGTAATAGTTTAGCCATCCTAGCCAATTTACAACAGCCTGAACCGCGTATAATCCAAGCGCATGCGCGGTTAGCGATAGCTCGCTTCCGCTCGTTACGCCACACCCATCGGCAATCGGAAAGCCTGGTGTGCGCGCTGTGTGCCGAAGTCAGTGGCTGAATCTTCGTCTAAGAACAAGGAGGTGGTGTATGCTTCACCAGGACTATTTTGTCGTTCTCTCCGAAAATCACAAGCGATCGAGTAGGAAATGGTGGGAATAGTATTATAGAGACTTCACATAAGTCTAACCCTTAGAGTCACCACCGTCTGAGTGGCAAAAGACGACCATTTTGCTACTCTCTCTGGCGTAGTGCGAAAAGCCAAGATGCAGAGAGTTGTAAGTAGCAGCTAATGCACTAGCTAACTGTCAGCAACTACTTTCTGTCAAACATAATTTCGAAGTTTTACTTCCAACATTTTTGATGGGTTTTCCCATGATACAATACTGCAGCTACAATTCTGACAGATGGAATTCTAACCATAGTTATCCAATAATGTTCCCACTACATGCAGAGCTCTAGAGATTACGAGGATGCTAACCTTGCTCTTAGAAAGCTTGAATCTGAGAGCTTAGAGCTGGGGTCTGAAAAGTGAGAGAGAGTAGCAAAAAGAGCTGAGGTCTGAAATTGGACATCTGTGGGGAAAGTTGGAACAGTCCCTGTTGAAAGCTGAGGAGAAAGAGCGAGAGCTTTTATGAATGCGAGAGCAAGGTCCACAAGTGGTATATAAAACACCAACTGTGTGCACTATAGACTGATGGAAGAGAATAAAGCAACTGAAGGTAGGGAAGTATCGAGCTAGAGAACTCCATACTAGGTGTATATGTGGTATAATATAGGCATTAAAACTTGCAATGTTTTTGCAGATGATCCTTTTGTTTCTCTCCTCAGACAGTGTTGAAGGTTGGTGCTACATAATTAACCATCGGCGCGCATGCGCAGCGAGGGTTACGGTAGTTGTCCCGTAAGTGTGTCTGTCAGTCTGTCTGTCCGTCCGTCTGTCTGTTACCACGTTTTCTGCCACCGCGCGCACGAAATCAGGTAAATAGCGATATGATCGGGTTCAGTGCTACACTGGGTTGATTTTTAAAAAGGCGATTTTCGTAAAACTACTGTGTTTTAAAGTTATGGCGTGAAAACCAAGTGAACAAGCCAATATGTAAATTAGCACAGGCTTACCTCGACCGCGTCCGTTCGCTCTGTGTGTCTTGAAGGCACAACAAGTCACAACGAAGGGCATGCTATTTACTACTGTAGCTAGCCCGTGCCAGACTCTCCGCGAGCTACTAGCGGGATACCACGGCATAAAAAGCCCAGCCCATCAATTAGTGGTACCGCACATGCGCTGTTCGCCGAGGGTTTGCACTTTATATAGTGCTTTTCATTATAAGGTAGATGTTGGTATTTTGAGCCACTTAAACTTTCTTCTTAATTTTTCCTCCAAATACCGGTGAATTAAAGTGAAATTTATGTTACATGACTATCAAGACATGGCGATTCTAAAAATCAAATCGGTTTCAGAATATATTCATAGTAGGTAATGCAAAATATTTGCTTTATAACCCTCTAAAAGCAGCAATTATGAGTCAGTGATGGTATTATGAGTCGACTTAAAACGTATTCTTTGATGAAGCAAACAGTTGCCCAGTCGTGTTTCACAATAATTACTTAGATATACAGAAAAGCAAAAAACCACAAATTAATCATAATTTGACCAAATCATTCATTTAAAACCTCCCCCAAATTAAACCCTTTGAGTCAGTGATGCAATCATTGTGACCTCTTGACTTTTGGCTATTTGTCGGAATGTAACCCGCAGCACGTGTTAAAATGTGGCGACGATTTGCTGGGCTAACGTCCCGACGGTAGGAAGCAGTTACACAGTGTTTGGCAGCTTTTTGGAATATTTACCCATAATACCCCCTGACTCATAATACCAACACTTACCTTACACAGTTTCTTGTGCATTCTAATCTTCCTAGAGCAAAGGTGCAGTGGAAACAGTGAGTTCTCAAAAGGCAGTTCTAGGAGACACGATATGAATGTGTCTATAAGTGCATCATGTGGTAGCAGGCATTTTCCTGAATCAATTTGTTAGGCCACTCCCCTCGCCTGAAAATGAGGGACGTTGCACAATACCTGTTCAAGAAGAGACCAGTGCTTCAGTTACTCCAACATTCGACCGTAAGACTGGTAGTAGCTACACTAAAATGTAACCCTGTTAGAGAGACTGGGCTATAGAAAATCTGCTCCAAAAATGCTGGTGTCACAGCACAGCAAAAGCAGAGAAGATGTAACTCTGCATCCAGTGTTGCTCAGTCTCGATTGCTCCATTTTACTGAAGGTAGATGATTAACCCTCGGCGCGCATGCCCAGCGAGGGTTACTGTAGCTGTCAGTTTGTCTGTCTAGCGTCTGTGTGTGTGTGTCGACGCTTATTCTGGCACTACAGGCTACGAGGCGGCCTGTTAGTGATTCCAGCGGCTTCAGAACTACGCGAGCCTGAAAATAAAAGGGCGATTTTCCTGAAACGACTGCGTTCGAGAGATATGCCGTGAAAACAAGCGAAAAAGCATAATCGCACTGGGCTTACTGCGACCTGATCCGCTCGCTCTGCGTACCTTGGGGGCTCAAGAAGTCAAAGGAAGGTCGTGTACCGACTCATGCATGCTATCTACTACTGTAGCTACGCCGTGTAAGACTCTCGGCGAGCACCAAGCGATCACGGGTAAGCGCATATTATAGCCCAGCCCATCAATTAGAAGTATCGCGCATGCGCAGTTCGCCAAGGGTTTGCACACCTTAGCGCTTTGCTTTACTGCATGTTAAAGTGAAATAGACCGTCCGCATCGTGAAGTTGAGCGACGCTACTAGTAAAGTAGATCGACCTCTTAGTAAAATGGACCGACTTCTTAGTAAATGGACCGACCTCTTAGTAAAGCAGACCGACCTCCTAGTAAAGCGGACCGACTGTCAGACTCTCTGCGAGCTACTTCGCCGAGGGTTTCCACTGTAGTGGTTTTCATTGGGTCTGTCTGTCTGTGTGTCTGTTACTCTACATCTCACTTCTCGAACGTCTGTTCGTCCCAGAAACGATACCATCTACCCAACGGGCGACGAAGGTCAGAAAATAAAGGCGGTTTTCTCTGAAAATGCTCCGTTGCAAAGCTAGAGCGCTTCCGGCATTGTACGGATTTACGGAAAATGCGCATGCGGTTGATTAGCACAAACTTACCTCGACCGGGCCGCTTGCTCTGTGTATCTTGAAGGCATAAGAAGTCACAACGAAGGGCGTGTATCGACTCCCACGTGCTATTTACTACTGTAGCTAGTCCGTGTCAGACTCTCCGCGAGCTAGCGTGGATACCACGAGTAAATGCATACTAAAAGCCCAGCCCATCAATTAGTGGTACCGCGCGTGCGCAGTTCGCCGAGGGTTTGCACTTCAGTGCTTTTCATTAGTAGAGGTGGAGGCTCGCTGTTTACTTGACAAGACGGTAGACATCCTTAATGGAATGGGAGTTGATGGACTGGTTCACATCAGATAAAACCAAGATGCCCTTTTTGAGATCTTCCTCAAGGCGTGCTAATTTCGAACACCATGACTCTCATCTACCCTAAACAAAAGTACATTGAACTTTGTCTCCTGGCTGTGATTAGTATATAGCTTGGGAAGAGACAGTAGAGTTGGAGGGTTTGGAGATAGAAGCCCCGCTTATTGGTGCAGGGACATTGAGCGAACTGGAGGGAGGGGCCCGAAAGAGTTGAACGTCGCCAGCTACAGGTGTCTTCCCCTCCTCAATCACTTATGCTAGCGTTTTATCCCATTATGCTAATTCTTTTTCGCAGAAATGCCTATTATTCCAAAAAAATTATGCTAATAACATAATCTACCAGGCAGCACTCGCCTAGAGTGTAGAGTGTCATGGGTTCGAATCCCATCTCTATAGGGCAGCTCTTATACTCTTTATTATTATTATAATTATATATTTCAGTGTAACAGAGAACATGAGAAGTGGTAAAAACTGTGTTGAAGGACTGAAGGCATCAAGCCAGCAGCCATGAAAAAAAAATTAAAAAACACAGAGAAGAGGACATAACATGAACAACATTTAGATGAAATACATTGAGATAGGAAGCTTAAAGCATTTTTTGGCATGGACATACATAGTTATAGGAGCATATCAGGATCAAAGTGTGAGATAAATTGAATCCAAAAGAAGTTTCGCAGTCTAGACTTGATGGCAGCAATAGGGAGATTAATGACAGAATTAGCTAAGTGTAGAGAATTCCAGGTGGGGAATGCGAATGACAGTAAAAATTTCTCTCGGCCTGGTTTTTGATAGATCCCTAAACTTATTCTTGGACAAATGAGTTGTTTCTTGGCGTAGTTTTGCCGTTGCTATATGCTTTGACCTCGTTTATGGCATCAACATTGGTCTTACCTCCCAACTCTACACCAGCGACACCCCACAGTTCTCCAGACGCAGTCTGAGACTTGGGACGCATAGGATACATTGCTATAAAGTAGCACAATAGGGGTTATTAGCTGCATTAGCTGCATTAGACGCATTAGGCTGAACAATAACAAGCTGTTTAATGAACAACCTAACCATGAACAGCTTGACAGAGAAAATGGTAGTCCTTGACAAAGGCCAACAGGTAGGCACGTGGAATGGAGTAGACATTTCATAACACAATAAAATTGTCTCCACTGAACAAACATAGATCCCTAAACGTACCTAAGAGTTATAATTGGTCAAAGCGTGGGTACGTGGTCTCGTTAGCAGGCCCCTCCCACCCCACAGGAGAGGATCTAGTGACATTCGAGATAGCTCTAAGAATTGTGTGTGAACCAGTCAGATTGCAGACTTTCCAGCAACAATCCTGTAGGCAAGGGGTCAATTATTAGATGGTTAATAGTTCAACGTCTTAATAAAACATTTTACACACTGCCTAATGCGCAATCTAGCCAGTGAGAGAACTTTCTTCTCTCTTCGATGGCTAACCTATGATGGCTCGTGCAGATACAATCATTATGTGCTCGCTCCCACTCGCCAAAGATATTATGCATTCGTTCAACCAGACAACAAGTCAATGGCGTCGAGTGCCTCTTTAACGCCAGCGGTATGTCACACCCACGTATACATGCGCATGTAATGGGGGTTAGGCTAGAGGTTACTGGGGAGGAGGGAATAGCTGGTCACTATTGCCAGCATTCCGTGGACGGCGCCGGGCTGAGTATGTCAGTGTTAATCTGTGCCCTGCAGTATGACTCACAAGAGTTTATTACCCAATGAGCTTTAGCAAATACCCACACATACGAATTTTTTCGGCTTTATACATTATAGCATCGTTAAAAAAATACGAAAATGGCACTATTAGAACATATTCAGAAAATAGAGCACAATTTTGCGGCAAAAACATGGCAGTACTTATTTGTAATTCTAATTGCACTCTTACAACTGACAAACCGGCACGCTTTGTTTTGCACTTTATAAGAGGGCGTGGTTAATTTAATATTATATAGTAACTGTATATTGCTATTTTTGAAGAGTTTTGAACTTGTGTTGGAGTGTATGCATGAAGTGTAACTAAGTAAGTGCCCACTGAGACATGAGGAGGTGAGGCTGGTCGATATAGAGACTAGACATTGGGGTCAGGGGAGGCATTCAGAACTCACTATATCTAACACGGGTCTCATTATACTGACAAGAGAGTTAAGGCTGGTCTCCATATGAATGTTGTGTAGTCAACAGCAGTCTGGGGAATAGACTACATTTATATTTCCAAGACCAAGACTTGCCTGGTTTCATCCGGGCAGCTCTTCTTCTAAAGAAAGAGCTGTTCTGGGTGTAGTTGATTTGTTTGCCTTGCCTTGCCTTTCTACCTCGTCACCAAGTTGTTGAGACTTGCATATTTAGTCAGTATTTCCATACAGTATGTCCAGATCGCGCGGTACCAGATATGATTATGTGGAGATCAGCCTTCAGGAATGACTTTCTGTCTTCGTGTAGGCATCGTTTTGTTCCCCCTTTTTATAATGTAATATTTATTTCATTTTACATTATAATAATTATACTGCAGGGAACCAGGTATGTGTAAAGAGAGTGGGAAATATTATTATGTTTCCATTTACTCCACAGTTTTTCTTATACTTACTACCGTATTTACGCTAGCTACACCTTGCCATTTAATTGAGCTGCCATTGGTATATATATAGTTGACTTGTTGAGTTGCTATAATATGTACCTCAACAAAGATGCTGCTTCACTGTGGTATTCACAATATTACGTTGATATTTTCTCACCCTTCAGCACTTCCGCAGATACTGTCCGACTTGCTCTTCCTCAACTGCTCCCTCCTCTATGACGCCAGTCTCTTCTCTCCCCTCCTTCTCCTTCCCCTACCTCACCCCCCTCACTATATCTCTCTCTCCATCTCAAAAGTTAGGATGTCATGTGGTTACTACAAACTACTCATATGGACCTAACAAAGGTAGCTGTATATAGCCAGCTAGATAGGTAGTTCACTTCAGTATAAGCAAGTCAGCAAAAGCAACGAGATATATGCTGTAGAGTCAATAAAACTATGCTGAAGAATATCGTATCTGTAATTGAAGTTTTCCTGTTTTGAAGAATTAGATACGTAGATGTGTAACAATTAATGTGTATACTGCTGGGCTCCAAAAGGTGGAGTGGCCTCGCCCCATTCGGGAGTGTATTACATGTCGGGAGTATAAAGAGGCCGAAACATGTAATGCATGATGAACAATGGGGAACTCCCCTGATGACCAGTGCAGTCACATAGAGTCTGATTTAGGAGACTACCAATATCAAAACTTATACATTCGAATGCGTGTTTCTCAATGCCCCACACACATATGGACAAAGTGTCGCCTAAAACTTTGAGTTTGAGTTTTTTGACTCCCGTTAAAAATCTCTCTCTCTCTATCTCTCTCTCTCTCTCTCTCTCTCTCTCTCTCTCTCTTTCGTCTTTGAAACAAGTCTCAAGGCACTACACTTCACGTCTTTCTCTCCTTATATATACTGCTGTACTGTAAATAGGCCTCGCTTACACACAGATCTCTCTCTCTCCTCGCACCTACTAGACATGGCATGTAGGTTTAGCCCTTAAAGTTTTGTGCCAGGACACCCAGTAGCTAGTATACTCACTTCCTGCTATATATGTGTGTGGGTGTGTACTATGCACTTTCACAACACTTTACAGGTGTTTTTGGTTGGTCTTACTGAAGGAGTAGCTATGCTAAAGGTATATAGAGATTACGAGTGTGGATACCTTCCACCTTTGACCATAGTAATCATGCAGTTTAGTGTGGCTTGCTTGTGGCTCCATTGAAATAAGTTTATGTCATGGAACCTATTTAGGGTCAACGGATATTGTCCCTTGTAGAGCTAGAGGTCGCCACATCTCGGAGGTTTTTGTTTTATTTCACCATTATAAATATACCCCCCCCTCTTGGGGTGATTGATTATGCACGATAAACACTGATGTATAGCTATACACTGCCCAAGGCGTGCACATGAAAAAGCGCAGATTGCGGCGATGGGTGCAGTTTCCCGGTCTTCGCCCTTTCGCTGTGCTCGCTGGGCGAAGACTAGCGTAAACCCACGCTGCCGATGTTCTTTGCAGCAAGCGTGTGACTCGCTCTTCAACTGGAGTGCGAGTCCTGTGGGAGCGGCTTCTCCGTCCGCTCTCGGAGGCAAAAATGTTTGGGCTGAGTCAGTCCGGGGCGCGGTTGGTGTCCGTCCTCCGCATCTCTCGGAGGCAAAGCGCCCGCCTCTCTGAGGCATTAACTCTACGTTAGTTTCAATCCGCTGTTCGCTTCTCGGAGGTTGTTCGCTTTTCGGAGGGTCCGTTATGAGAGGTTCCACTGTATGCTTAGCTATTGCATCTGCTGAGAGGGTGTGATGATGCGTGTATGCAAGACAGAACGAAGTAGCTTGCGCTAGTATCATACCATCCTTCGGCAACGAAATAAGCTATAGTAAAGCAAGGTGACGGGACAAGAATGACTGATGTATGTAAGCACAGGACACAAACTTTTTGCTGGTCCTCTCTGGAGAACCTAGGGGTGACACGCCCCTTTGCGCGCCACTCCCCAGGCCGTCGACCAACCGCGTGGACGGACGAACCTATTACCGAGGACCATAAAGGAGGACTTACTATGGGGGCTGAATACTCAAAACAGAAGGTAAGACTCTGCTCTTCACATCAGTGGGCATGTCATAAGCTGCATAAGTAGGCGCACATATATCTGAGGTAGCTTAGAGCCAGTAGTGTTGTTTTTTTAAATCGGTCGGGTTGTCAAAGGGAACTGTTGTTCGGAAATACATTTGGGGGTGGCACTGGAGCTAATGCTGACTGCTGACTAAGAATATTCACTCACGCACTAAAGTGCAAACCTTTGGCACAGAACCGTGTTACTGCAGCATCTCAAGAAGCAGAAATAATAGCTATTTCACAAACACTTGGGAATTTGCCAAATGGGGATAGCTATAGTCAATAATAGCATAAAAAGGAGTTGTCGGCAACATTAGTTTATGTGGGTTTAGCTGAGTAGGTGGTTCAAAGCTCTTTTCTACTGCATTCTCATGCGCATAGACAAAACACATGTGTGTGCCTTCAAAATGGCGGCCCTGCTCCTGGTAAACAAAACATGTTTAAGTAAGCAGTTTTAGAGTTATTTTCAACACCATAATCAACAATCTATAGTGTTATTTGTGGCGTGTATCATAGCATGCCTTTGCCAGCTAAGTGCATTTAGATATGCCCAAAGCTCATAAGAATAATTATAATGTATGGCTATAGGCGTTAATATATCATACATCAATTTCTGCTAAGATCCCCGTGGCGTCCAATAGGATAAATATAAAGCAGAATGAACAGACAGATTACAAACCAAGTACTGTAACCCTCTGGCGCATGCGCCCCAGAGTTAATAATTGTGTGGAAGCCAGCAGGAGAATGTAGCTCATCTTGGCAAGCAGCAGCCGACACCAGGTGCATGAAGCATGTGTAGGGCATTAAACAATGAGCATGGAAATATTCCTAACATTAATGTGTGGTCAGCGACAGGAATACAGTTTTGGAATAAAAGATTGATTTCCTTTGTTAAAAGTCGGGTTACTGGGTGAAAACGGAAGCTACAGCAACTTCACTATCAGTAAAACCTCTGTGGGAACCTTCTTCCCATATTTGATTAATTTCAAGCATCTGCAATGGCCAAGGTAGTACAGTAGGTAGTTCAAAGCTCTTTTCTACTGCATGCTCATGTGCATAGAATCACAAAACATACGCATGTGTCTGCCTTGAAAATGGCAGACCTGCCCCCCGGTAAACAAAACAGTTTTATAGTTATTTTCCACATCATAATCAACAATTTAGTGTCTTTTGTTGCGCGTGTCATAGGGCGCGTTAGGCAGCCCACGGCATAACCCAGAGCCTCCATAAGTCCATAAGAATTTATATGGGGCTATATCATTAGGCGATGATAATTGTGTTATACATCAATTTAAGGAGATACCCATGGTGTCCAAAGGGTTAATAAGCAGAGTGAACAGACAGATTACAAACCAACTACTGTAATTTCCCCACTGGCACATACGCGCCGAGGGTTAATAATTGCGTGGAAGCATGTAGTTATTCTGCTGAGAATAATATTCGCAGGATAGCTGGGTAGCAGGAGAATGCAGCTCTTGGCGAGCAGCAGCCCACACCAGGTGCATGAAGCATGTGATATGGCATGCGATGCTATAAACAATGAGCATGGAAATATGCCAAACATTTTCTGTATCTAGCAGAAGCCCAATGCGTGGTCAGGGACAGGAATACAGTGTTGGAATGACAGTGAAGAGATGGATTTCCTTTGTTGAAAATCGGGTTACTGAGTGAAAACGGAAGCTACAGCAACTTCACTATCAGTAAAACCTTTTGTATGAAACCTTCTTCCGTTATTTCATTCAAACATCTGAAACGACATAGCTAAGCTGGCATACTTAACTTCTTGTCACAGATGCACATGGTTGAAGTTCAAAGTCATAGTTCTCATGCATACGACCTAAAGGGCATTGCCATTCATAAATGAAACGAGGAAAAAGAAATGAGCTAGGTACCTCGAAAAATACAGTTCGGTCTCGAATTTGCAATTAAGAAGATAGTGTCAGCGTCTACCTCTTTCTGACCAGTAATAATTTCTTCGGGACATAGATAATTAACCACATCAGAATTTGCCAGACATAGCAATGTGATCAAACCACGATGAGTAGGTCCCACAAGATGGACATGAGGAGTCTTAGTAGATTCTATGACTGAGCACTTTTCAAACAACTTGTGGAGGCCACTGTTCCCTGAACACCGGCCAATTTCAACAGCTGACACAAGGATGTGATGTAGCAACTGTGGCTATGTAAGTCACTGAGGAATGGATAGTAGCATTATGACCGCTGTGCTTAAAAATGAGACTTTATGATTCACAATAGAAGCGGCATCTGCCAGGTTTTTGAGGCACAGAGCAAAGACAGTAGTGCTCAAATCTGCCTCCAGCGCTTTGCATTGTTGTACAATACCACCATTGTATACATTGACGATTGCCTGGGAGGTGAAGATCCGGCTACTCATCTGTGCTGGAGAGCAATTTTGGAGTGGTGCTTTGGGAGACGAAGGATTGGCCAATTTCACAATGAAATATCTTTAGCACCTTCATTGGTGATGGATTTTGTAGCATAATAGGAAGTTCCACTGAGTTGAATGCTTTTTCTATGTCAAAAAGACACAGATAGGGCTGTACACCATCTCGAAGTTGTTCGGTAAGAGTCTGCTGAGTGGCATCCATGCACTAGATGTCCCATTGATAGGCAGTTTGCAACTGATCTTGGAAGACTTGTTCATCTAGAAGTGGGGGGAAACGATGATTTCAAGAACCTTTTAAAGCACAGAGGAGATTGTGATTACACGATGGCTGCTGAACAGCCTTGCCCTGCCTTTTGAACAAACAGGCCTTCTTTTAAGCATAAGGGAAAAAAGATCTGTTAGTATGCCACTTGCGATTGTTACTGACTGGCCCTCAACAACAACCTTTGTACAATCAGTCTTTAGATGTGAAGTTTTGAAGTGTAGGGTGTGGTTTTCTTATAACATGTGATCTCTTTCTTTGAATGTTTATCGCTCCCTTCTAGCTCAAGCTGTTGCAACGAACTGGCGAAAATTTTTATTGGTACGTCTCTTTTCTTTTGCCAGTGGCCCATTATGATGGATGATCAGCGTCTCTCTCTTTCTACGGCTTTGCTGGTTTTGCATAAATCTTTGAGATGCTCATTCTTAACAATAGACTTGCTCTTTTTGACCTTTTGTAAACACCTAGTTGCAGCATCAATAATACCATAGGATACATAAGTGATTTCCCACCGTAGCTTTTGGATAGTTTAATGTGTAGTGTGAACAAAAGGTGAAGTTAGTGAGGAAATAATACGTCCCTGTTTTTAATAGCCCGAGCCCAGTTCATAAGTCTAGTTGCTACTGTGGGTGGGGGTGACACACTTGTGTGTAGTGTTGTGGCCATTGAGATGGAAAGATCGTACGACCTATTTAGTGTATGGTTGTTGATGCACCTGACATGATATTACTTGCCCCACCAACAATGATTCTCTAAGGATAATCCACCATAGAAAGTGAGGTATTTGAAAAGAATGTTTAGTCCTGACAAGAGACAGTTTTACTCGTTGACACTGAGTATATGTAATGAAAATTGTGCAGTAAGCTTTCTCGACCAGAGGACTGATTTGACTGCGTCAGGTGGACTACGCATGCATTTAATTATACCTTTTTCGTTTCACACGCTGCCTAGCTCCATCCTCGATGCACGATTTAGCCAGCAAAAGTATTCTCGTCCACTCGACGGCATTCTGACAGAGGCTGTACCTCTTTCAAATCTTCGCCATTCCAAGGTACTAGTAGTAAATGTGACTTGATCCGGGACTTTTGAAGTATTTTTCACAAATATTGAGTTTGTTATGCAGAGGAATTGTTCTTATCTTTGCTCAGGAATAATTTGGGGGGTGTCTGTGACACGGATGACAGTTCGCATACGCGTCTACATGCAGTGAATAAATAGCTAGCTTCATCCCGCCCTATGGTAGATAGAATAGTGTAAATGTGTGGGAACCTATCGTATTTGTTTATTTTTGCTACTGCTTCTAAAATATGGTAGCTATTGCCACTATAAAAACGTCCCAGTTTTATTGCCTCAGTATGTGCCAGCACAATAATAATTTGATGTACAAATACCCTCGTGTTCTGGGGTTTTCTGTTGTACATAACATCTTTTTGTGAACGTATACTAGCACACACTGAGCCAAATGCTATAAAACTTTATGTAGTGAGGGCTGGTTTAACTGAGCTCTACGATTCATGCAAATGTATACCTCAGTAACTAATCGTTGCTTGCATGTTCTTGTAATGTATGGTTTACCTAAACATATTTTATACAAATGGCGGCTGCACAATGGGTAACATTCTCACTTTAATCAACTTGCTGTGTAGAAATGCCACATTCTTCATCGGCCAAACAAACTACAAAAGCATGAAGCAGTTTTGAACATGAGGTGTCGGAACATTTTCGTCTTGGACCATTACTTTTACACTTTATACAAATTTCTCTTTTTAAACAGCTGTTTTCATTTGTGGTGTACGAGCTAAGTCTAACTCCAGTGAGCACTTCCTGAAGCAACTTCTTCAATAGTAACAATAATAATACTCAGGTTGCAGCCATAGCACTAGGGCCATCGACCACACACCCAGGGTAATGGGTGGAACCATTAACAAATGAATACAAACCAAATGAACATACACTCACACTGGTGTCTGTCTCACCTCCCAGACACCTAAACTCACTCCTTCCACCAGCGACACCCTGCAGCTCCTCATTTATCCCATGCGTACCTGATTTGAACTTAAACATTAATCTAGACCCAGCATCACTTGCTCCACGCAAATACTTTTTGAACTCTACCACTTGTTAAAAGGCAATGACAGCTTTACTTTGCTATTTAGCCCCTCTTCAAACTTTTTAGCCTCAATCTCATTGATACCGTCTACTACTATGGACAAAAAGTCCTTCACGGAGCAACCTCCATTGATCCTTGTAGTATCCAGAGGATGTTGCATACAATCGGCTTTCCTTTGCCATTCGCTATAAGAGGATACCACGGAGAACACTCGTAGCCTTTCAAATGCCAGTGTGCTGTTGTAGACAATGTACTGACTTAGCTAGTTGATTGGGTTGCATGCGAAAATGTGTGAAATAATGGCGCACGTGATACAATCTGCATAACCTCCTCTGAGTGGTACCAAAGACAATGTAGCCATTTCAGCAGAAAATCACTTACCTTATCCCCAAACCTGTCTTGTGTTGTTCGATAGTGTAGTTCTTTCATCAATGGCTGTAGTAGGTAACGTGTGTTGTCAACCTCGTTCTACAAAGTTGAATGACACCACACTTTACCACTGCCACAAAGATGCAAGTGTAACTTACTCATAAGTCTTTCATCTTGAAGACACAAAGTTCAGTTAATGAGCACTGCAGTATGCAAGAAAGAGTGTTTTACTTCAAACTCCTGTTGTCACTCACTGTTCTTTAGCCTTGCATTTTTGCGGGATTATCATAGGCAACATCATAGACTTGCATTCTGGAGTAGTTTCCACAGACAAGTCGCTGTCAATTAGTACAACATAGTTTTCTCTGTGTTGGGTGAGTGTAAGTAGGCCATTAATGTAAACATAGAGTTTTACTGGCTACTGGTGATACACAAAATCTAAGCATGATACTCTACCTCAACAGTGCAGACAGTGCAGTAAAAACTTACAGGGGTTTTATTTCATCATGCATACTGTAAGTAGAGTGCCATACACAGTTAAATACAATCTTAAGTTTTCGATCGGTTTGCAGTTGCATGTACTTTCTGTCATCTCCAGACCAAGGATCCAAATGACATATGTCTGAGCCTCAGAGGTCTCTATGGCTACCAGGATGTAGTGATCCACACAGTTCAGGTCCTGGGCTCCGGAGCCTATGGCAATGTGGTAAAGGCAACACTGGATGAAAACCCATGTGCTGCTAAAATCCTCCACCGAGTCATCGTGGACTCCCAGGACCCCGGACTCTCTGACTTCATCTCTCGATTTGAGCAGGAGTGCCAGATCCTGCGAGACCTGAAACACCCCAACATTGTCCAGTTCCTAGGTGTGGTCAAAGATCCCTCTACCAGCAAGCCCATTCTCCTCATGGAGCTGATGAAAGACAGCCTTACACACTTTCTGGAGAGCTCACCAACCGACATACCCTACCATGTCCAAGTGAACATCTCCCACGACATAGCTCTAGCAGTGGCTCACCTGCACAGGAATGGCATCCTCCATCGAGACCTGTCCAGCAACAACATTCTCCTGAATGCCAGCCACCTAGCCAAGGTGACCGACTTTGGCATGTCCAAGATTGCAGCCTCCAATCCCTCCATGACCCGCAGTAAGGTGACCCAGTGTCCAGGAACACTGGTCTACATGCCACCAGAGGCCCTTCGTCCCCAGCCTCGCTACTCCGACAAGATCGACACTTTCTCCGTTGGAGTTCTCCTTCTCCAGATTGTCACCAGAGAGTTCCCTGCTCCCACTGCTGCTTCTGTTGCAAGGGAAGATCCAAATTCCCCCACAGAAGAAAGCTATGTTCCGGTTTCTGAGATTAACAGAAGGAAAGCGGACATTGACAAAGTCCAAATTTCCCATGGTTTTCTCTCAGTCATTAGAGACTGCCTCAAAGACAAAAGTAAAGACAGGCCAATAGCTGCCCAGCTCTGCCAGAGACTGGGCCAACTGAAGAGTACTGCAGTCTACAGTTGGAGTCGTAGTGCAGTGCTTCTTGAAGTAGGTTTCACCATTGTGCTGGTTGAACTCTTCTGATATTTTCTGTGTCTTATCCCAGGGAAGAACAGAGCTCCACGATGCTGCTGAGAGAGGAGATGTTGAGGCAGTTCAGAGACTCCTCTCCACTTCTGTAAATATCAACTTCAGGACTGAGGATGTGAGGCTCTCTACTAGTGAATGTGTAGTCTCATTTCTGACTCAGTTCATTGACTGCTGCTCCACTGATCTCTGTATCCCCACCACTTGTAGGAAGGACACTCTGCTCTACTATTAGCCTCTGCCAGAGGTCATGTTGAGGTTGTACGTCTGTTGCTCAAGGCTGGGGCCGCAGTCTTCATTCCTGACAAGGTTCGAAGAACATGTCATTATTGTTCAATTGTATCATTGTCTGTGTATACACAGGAGTCCAGGAGTCCACTGTACTGGGCTTCATTCTATGGGCACAGAGCAGTAGTGGAGCTTCTACTAAAGAATGGTGCTGACATCACCATCTGCAATGAGGTAATATCAGACCCTGATAGTTAGAGACTGTTAGAACTCTCAGTGCAGTACGACATTGTGAGTTCCAAGTTTGGCCTATTGTGAGAGGTGTAGACTCTAGGCTTGTGATGGTTTGATGAGGAGGAGACCTGTAGGTTTACTAGTGTCCAGGGAGGGAGACGAGTGGTGCAGTAGTTAGTCAGGAATGTCTCATTAGTTCTCTCTCACTGTACAGAATGGTTCCAGTCCACTTTATGTTGCCAGTGAGTATGGACACACTGAGGTGGTGGATATTCTCGTGAAAGCAGGAGCTGATGTCAATCAGGCATGTACCAAGGTATGTGAGAAAATGTTGTGTATCTAGTCAGTGATGTTGGAACTACATGGGTTCACTCCCATAAGAAGAACCTTAAATCAATTTGGTTGTGCAAGAATTCAGGGTAAATGTTGCATACTTAACCTGGCAAGAAAATTATTATGCTGACTGCCTTCGTCACCTCACTGACTTGCTCTCGTTCACACAACCAGTCAGCATGAGCCTCTTTCAAAGAACTACAAATCCAGGCTCCTGGTGCATAACACGGACCAACTACATGCCGGTCGACTAGTACTTTTCCAGTGCAATATATTGTACAGGTAGGAAGACTGATGTGGCCTACATTTGATAGCTAAAATTATGAAGTTAGAATGAAAAGCACTTGAAAGTGCATAACCCTTGCCACTTTTTATTATGGAGTTTGAACAGTTAGTTGTCCCAAGGTAACAGAAAATCAGAGACTGCTCTCTCTTTAGACATCCACAAATCTCAGCTGTGTCCTCTATTTGAAGACTTGTTATCTCAAAGTTGCTGTACTCCGCCCTCTTGCTCTCATTTCACAAGGCATTCTCACTCCCACTCAACTGTGCCATCATTACTGGCAGACCAGCAAGCTTAGCGATATCAAATTTACTCCCTGGCCTGGCCCATCTTCTCTCCACATATACATGCAAGGTGACTAGCTAGCTACCAGTCCATTTAACGCACACTCACCTTGGCAGCAGTCCATTTCACCAGCTTCTCCGGCCTTCCGCTCCAGAATCTTAGTTTACCGTGTGTACCTGATAATACATCCACATTTCACGCTCAGAGCTGCAGCGGTTACCGAGAAAAACAGTGGAGAGATGGACAGACAGACAGACAGACAGACAGACACACGCACACACGCACACACACACACTCTAATTAACAGCATGGGAAATTTTGACTTTAGTAGACATAACATCCACAACAAGGTATAAAACAGCCAAGCTTGCCTCTAGTAGCTCAGTTAGGAGCAAGAGTGAAGAAAGAAAGAAGTGAAGAACAGAGAAGACCAAAGAATGAAGCAAGTTATTACTAAGGATACGTAGCTGCTATACTAAAATTGCCTTCATATAATATAGGTTAGTTTGTAAGTACAGTAATTGTAGCCATGTAGTAGGCAAATCTGGACTCCAACGAGGTGGAGTGGCCTCGCCCTTTCTGGAGTGTCTCACGTGTCGGGAGTTTAAAGAGGCCGAAATGCGTGTGACATGGTGAAAGATTGGGAACTCCCCTGATGACCGGTAACAAAGAGCCTAGCACTGCACCTGCATGTTGCTGGACTTGTGGATAGGTTTACACGTACGTTTAAGCACCTGGCTGGCTGCATGCGGTGACGCCGACAAAAGCCGCCCGCCCTCTCTCGTTAGCTTTAGTCCTGCCTACACTTTACCTCTCTCTCTTCTTTCCCCAATCACAAACACACACACACGAACCGACCATACAATAACCCTTGCCATGTATGCACGCAGGCGGAGGAGGGTTAATGATACAGAGGTATTCCTAGCATTTGGGAGAAATAATAAATTATGAAACTTTATAACGAAAACAGTCTGCGGTAATAGTCGTGAAGATTGGGGACTCAGCCCCCACTACCTGCACTATTGGTGGTCCTCCTGTCCACCTGCCACTGTTCCTGTCTCATTTGGACTATCCAACTTCAACAAAAAACTGAGGGTTGGCCAGAGACGCCGAGACATGTCTATCTTTCCCTAGGAATTCCAAAATGCTTTCTATGGTCACCAGAAGAAGTATGTATGATTGCAGAGTGTCAAGCTACTTGTGTTAATCCCAGAGAGACACGTAGTCCTAGGATCATCCCTAGACCCCCTTAGCATATAGTTATCCCCTTGTCCAAGTATTCCAGGATTCCTGGAATGGCTGACACTCCAGGGGTGATCCTGGGATTAGCTATCCCTTCCTTCGATAATCCTAGAATTTCTGCTGTTCTAGAGGTGCATCACACTCTTAGAATGTAGCTGGTCTTTGGACATCCTGAATGACCAGAGTTTCCTAGGATTTTATGGACAAATCTTAATTTTACATTGACAAAAAACTGGGGAATGTAGGTTGTTTGGGAAGTACCTTCAATCCTGTGTAACAAGGGTACCGGGGAGCCTCTCATAACGGACCATCCGGGCAGACAACCTTTAAGAAACGGACAAAAATTAACAACAGATTGAAACTACCATAGAGCTAATAGAAAAAATTTTCCTAACTAAGCGCATATAGCTATGCATGTCTATAACATTACCTTTGCCGTTACCGAGAAGCGGACGCCTTGTTCCTCCGAGATCCGGATAACGGACACAAACCGTGACTCAGCCCATGCCCCGAAAGTCGACAGACCTTCTGCATGTATTAGCTCTAGAATTACCACGGTTATCCATGTAGCAGATGCGCCACACCCACTGCAGCTGAACAGCGAGTCACATACTAATCATCAGCAGCGTGGGACCATTTACCCAGCGAGGTTCTCATACAAGCACAAAGACAGGGAAACCCACCCACCGCTGCAATCTGCTTGCTTTTAACTTAATGTGCACACCTTGCACAGTGTAGCTCATCACTCTTCATCATCCATAATCATTAAATCATGCCTAGAGGGGTTTATAAGGTGAAATAAGACAGATGGGGACGACCTCTCTACAAGGGACAAAAACTGCTGCCCCTAAGTGTCCCTATTTTGGAGGTTCCACCGTAACTATCTGTAGGCACAAGTGTAGTAAACTTCTTTACAGTGAAACATTATTATTAACCCTCCGCGCGCATGCGCAGCGAGGGTTACGGTAGTTGTCCCGTAAGTGTGTCTGTCCGTCTGTCTGTTACCACGTTTTCTGCCACCACGCGCACGAAATTCGGGTTCAGTGTTACACTGTGTTGATTTTAAAAAAGGCGATTTTCGTAAAACTACTGTGTTTTAAAGTTATGGCGTGAAAACCAAGTGAACAAGCTAATATGTAAATTAGCACCGGCTTACCTCGACCGCGTCCGTTCGCTCGGTGTGTCTTGAAGGCACAACAAGTCACAACGATGGGCATGTATCGACTCCCGCATGCTATTTACTACTGTAGCTAGCCCGTGCCAGACTCTCCACGAGCTACTAGCGGGATACCACGAGTAAAGGCATAAAAAGCCCAGCCCATCAATTAGCGGTACCGTACATGCGCAGTTCGCCGAGGGTTTGCACTTTAGTGCTTTTCATTCTTGTTATTTTGAATAAAGCTATGGCCAATTTCAAGGGACCACGTCTCTTTCCATGCAGGAACCATGCAGTGTTCCTCTGGGGATAGCTGCTGCAAAGGGACACACTGAGACAGTTCATAGACTGTTGGTGTTAGGAGCTGACATCAACCACCAGAACAAGGTGATGATTATTGCTGACCCAAGGCTCTCCCTCTTTCATGCTCAAAAATCAGTTCTGGGGTTTCTATTATTGAGTCTCAGTTCCATTTTTGCCATTTATCTATTGTGTAAATAGATATCTTAGTGATACACCAGACAATGTATTATGGATATATAATAACTCAATGCTACTGACCAGTCTCATTCAAAATGTGTAGAATCTTACTAATAATTGGCGAGTGGAGCAACCCTATAGTTGCCTGATTTTTTCTTTCTTATATACTTGTGGCCCGCATTGACGCACTGCACATACTCTAAATACACGTGAAGCATGTGCAAAAAAATGGAACTGCTCGCTTCCCTTGCAAAAAATTCCATTCCCTTATTAGTTATTATGATTGTCTCTCTTTTATTATCCACACAGAATGGAACCACAGCCTTACTCTCTGCAGGATTGAATGGTCGCTCAGAGGTGGTGAAACTACTGCTAGTAGCTGGGGCCAGAGATATTCGTAATAAGGTACACCACTGAGTCACTATCATGTGGTGAAGGAGTGTCTTCCTCCACATGGTATAAACACAATGCAATAACAATTCTAAGACAGAACCTTTTGTAAAGGTCGTAGAGCTGCCCTGGACTCTGACCAAGTACACTCTGTTTTCTTGCTCTCAGTCACGACTTTAGCTCAATATGAGTAACTTATATTCGTAGGAAGATGTGTCCTAATGAACCAAAGGGATTCAATATGCTAGTGTGTTTCTAAGACAACTCTCCTTTTGCAAATGAAAGACCTGCCAAAGGTGGGACTCGAACCAATGACACCTTGTCCTCTACCTATATATCTCTTTCAGTCACGACTACAGCTCACTATGAGTCACTGTGATGAATAAGAAGAGTGTCCCCATGAACCAAAGCATATAGATTCAATGGTGTGTGTCAAACCTATTCTTTAAAACAAAGAGTTTTTGTACCTATAGGGCAGCCTATAGCCTATGTATCTGGAAGGGCTCAACAAACCTGCATGTGGTATAACATCACTTACTGTTAAAATTAGGGAATAAACCAATGTCTAAACTAACTAGGTATAATAAACTTGCCTAATAATTAATTAATGGAATGGAGAATGGTAGCATGTAAAATACCATTGATAGATAGTTCATAGTTATTGTGCACAAGTGCATCTCCATTCTCTAAGAGTGAGTTTATCCTTGCAAGCAAAAAGAAGTGTGGTACTGTTGCACAGCTATAGTTTGCGCATGCGCATTATGAACTGGCAAATAATTTTCCACCTCATGAATTATTACACAACGTCACAAAAAGAGGAAAAAAATTATTTTATACCAGTGGACCCTAGGAATGAGAGGTGACAAAGCTGTGCAAGTGTTTGGAGCGGTAGATGAAACAACCGAACTGTCCTTCTTTCCCTTTACCAAGAAAAAAGTAATGAATGACCTTCATACTTCCTTTCAAATGTATATGACACACACATACTCATGCCCTGTAACTCTCCTCGTTTGCCCTACATCTCTTTACCCCCTGATGTACTGTCTGCTCTACAGTTTGGAAACACTGCTCTGAGCACAGCCAGAGACAATGATGTGGTACAGTATCTACTGCAACACCAGCCAAAGTGAAAAAGTACACTACAACTGCTACACTGCATAAAAATTAAGTTCAGATTTGACTGTCTATAATTCGTGTTTAAGTTTAGGTGCAGTCATAAGGATACACACTACAACACTTTCATATGAAAGATCACGTATGTGCTACAAAACTGTCTTAAAATATTGTAGCTATCTATTAAATTATCTCTTGGGTCAGTCCATGAAGACCCATAGACATTGCAAGTTGATGTATGCACAGAATCTGTTCCACAACAGTGGCGGATCTAGGGTTTTGAAAGGGATTCCACTGTCAATTGCGCTTGTACCCAAGGAACCCCCCTGGATCCGCCACTGCACAAAAGTTCTTCAAAGGAAATTCGACATCTCTCAAAGACCATTTGAATGCTTCTGCTAGAACATTGTACTACATACCTCTTTCCCAGCAATCCAAATCAATACAGTATCACTGTCTTAAGGTGACCTTGGGAAGAAGATACTAAACATCCCCAAGAACCATTCCCCGAGTCGCATTGAAATGGGCAACCACGAGGCAACATATTCTTCACAGGAAGCTGGGGTTTCTCTGGCGTACTCTCCACCCAAAGAAAACATCAATATATGTCAATGTGTTCGAGTCATTATGGGAAAGGGGCACTGAACCGCTGATCATTCAGCATTGCAAGTTCCTGGAAAATGTGTACGGAACTCACTTCTCCTATCACAGGGAGGCGACAATGTTGAATGCGCACTCACCTTAAAGTCAGTGAGAGCGGCTTTGGAAGAGGAAGATCGTAAGTACATTTGGGAGCAAGTGTCATCTCGCTAAAGCCTTGCTGCACTCACACCAGATATCAACTGGCTGTAGCTCTGGGATGATGCCAGGGACCACGGTTTCCCTCGAACCAGAACACTGGAGGCTACTCTCTGCATCCTCACGACTCCAAAATATGAGAACTATTCCTGTTACATCTGTGGCCACAAGCCAGATTCAAGTTAATATCTGGCCGATCACATTGCTAACATTTACCTCGGCTGCTCTGCTGATCAACTGCGGGAATCACTGACTGTATCCAGCGAAAAGACCTTCACACTGGCAGCCTCACTCAGAGCTACCTTTTCATCGTCATCATGAAAATTACACAGGCCCAATTATATTCATATATTTTTGTGCATATTATTTTGTCTGCTACACTGTGCTGGTCACGCAGTAACGAACCTTTTAAGCTTACGCAGGTCGTTTACAAGGGCAGTCACTAAGTAGTGTCTGGAGGAAATTCAAACTTGTATGTGAATGCAGGACATTTTTGGCGAGCGGGACAATGACTGTATACGCATGAGCCACCCTACTTCTTTACAGTTACAGTTACAGTAAGCAGTATATTATAGAAGCTGTACTACATAGCCACTATGATCACTCTGATGTAGTAGACTAAGTCCACCCGGCCACCACTGAGGTATATGACACACGATTGTTTTAGGCGACTTGTTCACCAACAACGTGGCAGTGGTGGCAAAGAGCTGTAGCTAGACCTCTACACTGAATTTTATTCCTGAGTGGCTACAAAACTATAAACCCTCGATTCAACATCAAAAACATGTTCATTGATAACTTTTTCCAAAGGTGTTGCCAGTTCTATAAGTTGCATGCCCTGTAACTCCATGCACAGTAAACCTTTCTGTGTTGAGGTTAACCCTTTCAGCAAAATAGCACTGTATGTGGCTGATCCTTGTTCAGTGGCAATAGACGGCTACAAGGTCAGATCTACAGGCTTATGCCTTCTTACCTGTCTCTCTGTTATCAGGAGGTGCCTGTAGAAGAATCGCCAGCAGAATACGACAGTTGTTCTATTAGCTAAAGTTTCCCCACTCAAACTTGGCACTCCTTACTGCTGAAGGTGCTATAATAGTAATACTGTTATCCAGCCACAGAAGTATTCTCTGATACCCTTCAATCAAGACCACTACCTGCTCATCAACGAACAACTGGAATGAACTGCCTGGAAAGTGTAAGGCGTGCCTACCCATGCTCGGGCATTTTGGGACAAGCTTCTGATGTAATCTCGATCAGCAGAGGAAACCAATTCAGTCAGGCTGGGTTAAGTGGTTAAGTAATTTGATTGGTGTGATTAAAAGAAATAGCTATCACTCCCCTTGCGTAAAGTGAAGCACTTTCTGGTGATATATAGCTGATTGATAGTGAGTGGCCTATAGCAGCGTAGCTACCATCACTGTAATCCACTCATCGATAAAAGGGATATAATTATGGGCAAGCACCCCATATAACAAGGGTCAAGGCAGGCAAGGGTCCAAGTGTCATAGTATGCAGTCAAAAGCATAGTCTGAAAAAGGTATGGAAGTGTGCGCGTGTGTGTGTGTGTGAAAGGGTTTCTAAGCAGTAATCAAGATCTTAGAAGCCATATTTACATCCTATGGAGGCCTTGTCATTGTCCTTCAACAGTCCATTCTCCAATATCTACCTTTGCCCACTGCCAAACAAACAGACTGTACACTGTGTCTGTAGTGTATCAGACCTAGTCGGTATTGTGAAAGGTCCCTGAAGAATAATGCATAATGATAGTTCTTTTTTCCATGAATTTTTGATAACGGTAGTAATATAAGGAAAGAAACAGTGTGCGCTAAGAAAGCTATAACACAGGAACAATGCGGTTATACAGCTAGTTGACGTGACCTCTCATCATTCTGTTAATTTTTGTGTTTGCAAGGTCTTCTGAATTTTGTGCATTAATGAGTCCCCAACAATATATTCGACGGATGCCGAAATGTAGGAGAAAACGCTGAAGGTACAAAACGTAGCTACATTTTGCACAGGCAGTGATATTAAAATCAAAATCGCTGAACAAAGTACACAATGATGCTAGAAGAGTCAATATTGTTAATTAGCATAAATAGATCTCGAAATTGAAAAGGCTCCTATACAAAAATCACACAAATTAAAATATCTGTACCCTACTGTTCCAGCGATCACACACATAAATAAAGCCGTCAGCACAAGATGTGATACCATACGGATGATAAAAGTCAACTTCACTGCTCGGACGAGATCCGAACCACCCACGTTTTCCTAATACGGCTACAAACCTAGTTGACGTGACCTCTCATCATTCTGTTAATTTTTGTGTTTGCAAGGTCTTCTGAATTTTGTGCATTAATGAGTCCCCAAAAATATATTCGCCGGATGCCGAAATGTAGGAGAAAACGCTGAAGGTACAAAACGTAGCTACATTTTGCACAGGCAGTGATATTAAAATCAAAATCGCTGAACAAAGTACACAATGATGCTAGAAGAGTCAATATTGTTAATTAGCATAAATAGATCTCGAAATTGAAAAGGCTCCTATACAAAAATCACACAAATTAAAATATCTGTACCCTATTGTTCCAGCGATCACACACATAAATAAAGCCGTCAGCACAAGATGTGATACCATACGGATGATAAAAGTCAACTTCACTGCTCGGACGAGATCCGAACCACCCACGTTTTCCTAATACGGCTACAAACTTCCCTTCGGTGTCATACACTAGAACACTGTCTGCAGTGTAATCAGACACATACACATACTTGTCAACAACGTGAAGACCTGATGGACCACTGAGTTTCCTTTCTCCTTCTCGCCCAAATTCTTGTATGAATTGGCCAGTGGCATCTACTACTTGCACTCTTTTATTGAAACAGTCGGCAACATACATTTTTCCATTAGCATCAAAAGCGACATCTTGTGGCTGATTGAATTCACCTCTTCCTCTGCCACGTGAGCCGATGGATTGAACAAAGTTCAAGTCAAGGTCAAATACTTGAATGCGGTGGTTGTTCTTATCACATACATACACTTGTTTGCCGTACAGCGCTATTCCACGAGGTCTATCAAACTCCCCCTCCTTGCTGCCCTTTTGACCTACAAATTTAATCAGTTGACCACCGCGAGTGAATTTCTGAAGCTTGTGCTCACTGCTCACATATATTTTGTCTGTATCGTCAATAGCTACACCTCTTGGGGCTATCATTTCCTCTGGACCCTCACCATGTGACCCAAATGTTCGAATCTTTCCTCCGTTTTTATCAAAAACCGACAACGTGTGGTTTTTACTTTCAGTGACAACTATTTCTCTATTACTGAATGAAGATATGCAGTAAGGTGCTTTTAAATCAGTGATTTTCTTTACAGGGGGGCCTATCTGATTAGGATGAAAGAATGCGGTAATATGGAAGGGGCTTCCCCTGGTATCCTGGTCATTAATATAAATGTGGAGCGAGTATTGGCCTCGGGTGACTGTTGTGTAAAGCACCTTGTATTGGAAGGTAGATATCATATCTACTGATACACTCATTTCAGGTGGTTTCTTAGACCATCTAGTCAGCGTGGTCTCAGGGGTGGGATATTTAGCGTTTGGAACGAGCTCGAGTTTCACAGTAACGTTATGCTGTAGTGGGAGTGGCCTGCCGTGAGAGTCGGTTAATTCGACTAGGATGTGCGTTGGCTCGTTGACTGTGGCTGATGTTAGACCAGGTCCACTGACTTTGCATGTGTAGAACGAAGACTGCTGAGGTAGAGAAAGAGAGTGGGAAGTAGGAAGAGAGAGGAAGAAAGCGGGAGAGAAAGGAGGGAACGAAAAATTAAACTGATTAACTTTATCATCTTTGCAGGGAGAGACAAGCTATTGCTTCTGTTATCTTTGGCCATCCTGCAATATCCCACAGAATAATTATGAACATAGCTTAATATCAAGCATTACATTCATGCAAGTTTTGTTTTGTTGCGTACTATATAGCTAAAGGAAATGAATGTGTCTAAGGCTATTAATATGTTTTATGCAGCTACCTTTGTACCCATACACACTTTTTCAGAAAAGAGAAGAAGAGTTATTCCCAGGGCTCTTTTATCAGTTCGCAAGCATATTATTCTTTTTTCTGAGAGAACTTAAGTGCCTATTGCAATGGACAGATTTGTTGTGCGATGATGCAAGATGATGTTCTTTTGATGGAGCTTACAGCACTGTTTTTAACTTAGTGAGAAGACAGAATATGTTGCGTCCCACATAACTGATGTATAATCAACAAGAAAACGAGGAGAAAAATGCCAATAAAATGACAAAGAGCTAAAGGTAAAGCTGAGTTGATGATTGATGCATTGGACTAGCCAGTATTAGACATTCCGAGGTCAAATCCCCATGCGCTTGATACTACATATATACTTTGTGTTCCATTTTATCAGCGCCAATGAGATAGCAACACAGCATAGATCAGATAAGCATACAACACTCTGTTGGGAAAACCGATTGCCATTTGGCATTATGTCAGCTCCTGAACATTTCCAACAACAAATATCTGAGATCCTACATAGCATCATATGCCTCATTCACGATATTCTCCTTCATGGAAGATCGAAAAAAGAGCACAATCAAGGTCTACTCATCCTTCTGCAACGACTCCAAAATCCTGGAGTCATGCTCAATATATAGAAAAAAAGTACGTGTTTACACAATACTAAGTCAAGTGATCATAGATCCCACAGCAGTGACACCTATATAGGTCTCAGCTAGTGCCAACCACAAGACCCCAACCTGTGTGAGAGGCATTCCACTCCTTGGTATGACCAACCAGTTAGTTCCCCAGCTTGGCCAATGTGACAAAGCCTCTCAGACATCTCCTGCGAAGGACAGCCAGTGGTGCTGGAATGAACCACAACATCATGCATCCAAGAAAAGTCTGTCAAAAATCAGCAAGAGCCCATTACTAGCACTCTTCAATCCATGCACATCAACTACATTTTCGTTTGCAGTCCTGCAAGAAGACGGAGAGGGGCGACCTGTCGCATACACTTCAAATATCCGACCCTGACTGAACAATGCTATGCACATATAGCCCTCGTGATAACATGGGCATGTAATCAATTCGCTGACTACCTCGTTGGACAAAAGTTTCATGTGGAGACCGACCACAAGCTTTTAGTCCCACTGGTAGGTGCAAGACGATTGGATGAACTCCTAATCCGAGTTCAACGCTTCCGTAAGCGAATGCTATGACTTCACCATTTTCACGGGAAATCATGGTAGATACTCTGTCCTAAGCTCCCGAGTCTCGAGAGCGAGTCCAGGATTGCCTGGAACAGGAAGTGGAAGTGGAAGCATACGCCAACGCAATGTTATCGAGTATCCCAGCCACCGAGCGACGCATGGAAGAAATACGTCAACACCTGCACCAGGAGGAGGACCCTGTTACCAGGCAACTGAAATGCTACTGTCAGACAGGATGGCCGTTGAGGAGTTCTCAAACCTTACCGCTACGTCTCAGCTGAGCTTGATTGTGGAGAAAGGGTTGCTCATGGGAGGATCCAGAGTGGTGATCCGACTTCACCCAGGGTGGACATGCACGACATATTCCATCAGGGAATAACAAAGTGAAGAGAGAGGGCCATGCACCAAGTTTAAATGCAAGGTGACTAGCCAGCTACCAGTCTCAGTTTGCTAAAAGAGACAGTCAGATGTTGCCCTGAGTGCCTAAACACAGTCCTGTACAACCTGAACTACTAGTCACTTCGAAATTATCGCAACTGCCGTGGCAGAAAGTCAATATAGATTTGCTTTAGCGGAACGAGTTTTGACTACCTTCTAGTCCTGAATTATTATTCAAGATGTGTAGGCTGTAGTGCTGGTCTGGCTAGTGTACTAGCTTTAGCTCACTTGCTCATCCGACACTAACTACCTCAGATAACCTCTAAGGTGTATTTAGGCGGAGAGGGGGGAATGGGCCCTGCATCCATCAACACCAGTGGTAAGAGCACTAAATATAGTTTGTTGCAATTCAGCATTGATCCACAAATCTGCAAGACATGCTTAAAAAGAACCTTTTTTCACACAAAAACACAGTAACAGGGCTCACAGAACAATTCCTTAGTCAATGCACAATAATTTGCAGAATAAGAGAGACTAATTTGCGCAATCAGTGGAATCAGCTACACCAGCATTAGGCTATACAGTGGATAATGCACTGCATACAAGCTGGGGACTGCTCTTTCCTTAAGTTTGGACTACAACTCTGCTGCAGCTCCCTCTTATAGCTAGGTACGGCCTGCCATAACAGCTGAGGATACGAAGCTTCTTCACTAAACCTTCTCAATCAGATCAGGGCAATAAACCTGTTGCGGACAACAATTAAAGTACTAGAGCATCCTGCAAGGTATATACTTTCGCATCGTTTGTGTGAAATGCACAACTACTGTTAGTTTGCTCTCACTTGCGCCAGTTATTTTTCTGTAGTTCTCTGTAATGCTAAAATAGGCTTCGCCTAAAAAGAAAGGGTATCCAGTTAGACTGTAGAGATAGAGGGTTATGATTATGTTTTACCTCGGCCTCCTCCATTGTCGGTTCAATTTCCTGTAGGTTCTCAGCTACTAGAGTCTTGATTGTGTTCTCTTTCTCTTGTGACTTGGCTGGTTCACTGCTTCCAGACTCAGTCTCCTGCAGTCAGGAGTGGCTATTTGTAACTAGTATTCCATAAGGGAAGGGCTAGAGCTATGACTGAGACAATAGATACAACTGCTGTCCTGCTCTTTGCTGGGATGCAACACAGGACAAACTACGACAATTTGTGCCAACTAGTTGTTACATTACTTGTTTTAGTCGTTTGAAGGATAACTGGTCACAATGCAAAGAATAGACTAGCTCTCCTCTTATAACCTGCTCCTTTGGTTGTAGATGCTCTTGATCCCTTGTAAACCACTCGTTTTCCTGAGTCAAGGGCGGTTCAGCATCCTGCAGTCAGAATTGTGGGGTGTTTAGTTTTTGTTGCTAGACAGTTGTAAAGTAACACAAACCTCTGTTAGCTTAACTCCAAGGTTCAATGATTGACACATGGCTGTTTCCGACTGATTCTAAGTGATTTTGGAGAGGAGAGCATTTGGTTCGAGTTCTATCAAAGCATAAACATGCAACAAAATAATACCAAACATATTATCTTACTAAATTGAGTTAATAAACATGGCTGTTATAGTAAAGCACTTATAGAGATAGACATAATTATTATCCTTCAACATGCTGACTCCAGCTGGTAGGTTGGTAGGTCATAATGTTTCTTAATGTGACAAACTCAGGAGGGGGTGGGTAAATCTCGCTGACTCTGCACTGACATGCATATCTCGAATGTTGGAATTTGATCGTCTCATGTGGTATGTTTTTTTATGTAAACTGGGTGGACCTTAATTGTATACCTGGAATACCAATATTGTGTAATTCACACCAATTCATTGGAGACGAAATCTAGTGCAGGTTTGGCTAGACCCTCTCTAGACAAGGTAGGGGTCTTTTATAGTGTGAGAGGATTGGATGGGATGCTTGCATTACGACTAACTTCTGTCTCCGCTTCTGTCCCGCTTTGCTGCAAGCTTTCAGTTACTAGAAACCCACATTCATTGTCTCCTTCCTGTATAATCATAGTCAGGAGGATTACCCCTCATCCCCCACAGTGATGTCTTTACATTAACCTGACTAGGTTCCTTTTGAGTTTCAGAGAGCTCCTTGTCTTTGGCGTCCACTGAAACAGTCTCCTGTATTCAAACACAAGTTAGAGCTAGTTATTACGCAGAATGTGTGAATACAGACTAACAATCTGTTCCATCTTCTGAATTTGCTGCTCCATGTGTTTCATTAGCCCCTGAATCTTTGCTATCTCCCTGTCTTTGGCTTGTACTAACTCAGTCTCCTGTAGTCAGAATGACCCCTAGTCACAACACACACCACACACAACTCGTCAGACTAACTCTCTGTCTCATCTCCTGAATAGCCTGCTGCTCTTTTCTTACAGTCTCCTCTGCCCTCATCAACTCTATTTCCTTCCTTGCCAACTGCTGCTTCAGTGCGTCATTTTCTGATTGCAACTGCTCTACCTACATTTCCGTATAATCATGATACTCCCTGGGAAGACATGGTCATACTCACCTTTTCTTTTAATAGATATTGAGCCACAGCTACTTCAATATCCTCCGCCTGCAAGCTCCTAATTGCTGTGCAGTGTGAAAGATAAACCCTCAGCGGAGTGGTATGGTAGCTAGGTATATACTCAAGCCATGCAACTTTACGTCAGAAAAAAGGGGTCAGCCCCGTTTTAAAGAGCTATAGAGGTAAGCATGTTTCAGAAAACTTGCACCACCTGTAAAGGTGCTTCTACACCTTGTGACCAGATTGGGTTTATAATTGTCCATCAAAGTCGTGGGCAAGTACTGAATAAAATAGCATGGTATTGGTGTGTACCACGGTATACTTCATTTATAATGCTTACTTTTTGTAGTACTATGCCTATGCCTTACTATAGTGTGTGTATTATACAAGTTCCAAATAAGACAAAATAACACTAAGGAGTATAGATAACCGGCAGTAAAGCAGAGATGATCACTTTACAACTGGAATGCAGTCAGTCAAGCCAAGCAGGTAAATGGCATGCAAAGTATGCTATAACTAGAGTATTAATTACCATAGCAGTAACAAGCACCAGACACGTTATTACAAATAGCTGGGGGCAATTCATATACCATTTGCTTCAGTGTTGGTACAGTGTTTCCTCTCAATATCCAGAGCCAAACGAGGTTGCCCAATAAGAGGACTTCTCAATGCATTTGCAATGACTTTCCATGTCGGTCTTGGCTCCACTTGTTTTACAAACTCATCAATGATATGAAATAGGCGATCCTTCGGTCTAGAATGCTGTTGTCGATGAATCGATTCCACCGTGGCTTTAGGTAATTTCAAAACACGTCCTAAAGCTTCGGTCTCATTTTGCACATCAAATATATCTTGAACTATTTCAGCAACGTCTCTATCACTCAGTGTTTGTTCCTCGACGCTAGTTGCCATAATTATCTGTTCCTCCCACACCCTTGTTTGTGGGCGTCGGGTCAAGCGCATGCGCAAAAGTCTACCGCTAATCCGTACGTATATACACTGGGACCTTAGTAACCTTAGCCTCCTCATCCTGTCACAATACTAGCTAGTAGGAGAACACAGGGCATTTTTGGCGAGCGGGAGCGAGCACACATAGACTGTATCTGCACAACGTAGAGGTCTATATACAGTACTCGGTTAGGCTAGCCTCGTTACCAGGCTCTCCCTCTTCGCGTACATTTATAACCTTTGATCCCCCTGAAAATCGGAGGGGCCTGGTAGAGTAAGCCACCGATAATCGGACGCCATGTATTCTCGGACGCATTTGTGAAGTCTGTGCAGGACTAGATTGGCTACTGTGTATACCAAAGTGTAGTTCTTGGTCATAAACTGTTGTATAAAAATATTCGCTCTTATCCGAGCTTTACCGTGGGAATGACGTTGCCGTAAAGTTACGATTCGGGCACAGCAAAGTTCGGACAAGGCCATCAAAGGTAGGACAGTCTCCCAAAACGGGAACAGTATGAATGATCCAAGCGAGTGTATGCTCGATTGATAGCTGTACCTTTTGGCTATGCAGCGACCCACAAATGGGCCTTTTTTGTCTTCGCTATTTTTGCTCACGAAAGCGCAAATAGGCGATCTTTTGTCTGAGGTTTGCCACAGTGTTTCCACCGAACCTCATCTTCAACCAGTTGATGGTGAAGTTTTGAGAGGTGCATCTGCCAATGCTTGTGATGGTGCTCGCTTGTACATAGAAGCAAATGGGTTTTGGGGGGGAAGATTTGAGAGAGAATTTTTTGATGTCAGGGTCTTTAATCCCCACGCTCCTTCAAACCGTTGACTCCAACTTACCACTTTCTATCGCCATCATGAGAATGTAAAGAAACGTGCCTACGAGCAAAGAATCAGAGAAATTGAACATGCTTCTTTTGTCCCACTCGTTCTGTCTGTCACTGGTGGTTTGGGTCGCATTGCCACAACAACGTACAAACGTCTTGCCTCAATGCTCTCGTCAAAATGGAACCAACCCTACTCCACCACCATGTGTTGGCTTCGATGCCGCCTCTCCTTTGCTCTTCTCCGTGCCTCCATCCTCGCTATCAGGGGTGCCCGCTCCTCCTCCAATCGTGTTGCTTCGGTAGCTTCCACTCCTGTTGATCTGGTGGCCGCAGAGTCCCAGGTGTCAACAGTGCCGTGAACTGTTTTCTCTATTGCTTCTTAAAATATATTTTTGGTTACTGTATAATTGCTCTATGTATATATTTTTAGGTTTTCTGTATATTTGCTCTGTTTTTTTTTTGCTTGTATTATTCCCGTGTTACGTTTATTTCACTACAGGGTTAGGCCACACCCTTTTGGGTATGACCTGCTTTTCCTTACGTCAAAAAAGGGCCATTTGTGGGTCGCTGCATAGCCAAAAGGTACAGCTATCAATCGAGCATACACTCGCTTGGATCATTCATACTGTTCCCGTTTTGGGAGACTGTCCTACCTTTGATGGCCTTGTCCGAACTTTGCTGTGCCCGAATCGTAACTTTACGGCAACGTCATTCCCACGGTAAAGCTCGGATAAGAGCGAATATTTTTATACAACAGTTTATGACCAAGAACTACACTTTGGTATACACAGTAGCCAATCTAGTCCTGCACAGACTTCACAAATGCGTCCGAGAATACATGGCGTCCGATTATCGGTGGCTTACTCTATACTTAACGAGAGATCGTGCTTTGCTGATGAGGGCTAACAAGCCCGAAACAGCTGTCCAGAGCTCCGCATCTTTTTTCTCTTGGCATCACATGGTCTATTGTTGATTGGCTATATCACTAAGTACGGTAGTACTTAGTTTATAGGGATATGCCTCTTTTTGATACCGTAATTATGATACAAGCAGGAATCTCGGCAAAAAGTTCAATCGACTCCCCTCTCACGCTCAGTTCCACCGCCCGTCTCTCGCGGCTTCCGATGCGGCACCGGCGGAGGTTTGTATTTCGCGCCTCGTATGACTCTGCGCATGCTCAGTAAGCGCCGCAACTCCTCAGCTAGCTAGCTAGCTCACCTCGGCCTGATCCAATCACTCTGTGTACCTTGGGGGCTCAGGAAGTCACAACAAATGGCATGTATCGACTCCCGCATGCTATCTACTACTGTAGCTAGCCAATGTCAGACTCTCCGCGAGCTACATACTAGCGGGAGACCACGGGTAAACGCATACAAATATTCAGTAGGCAAAACGTCATCGGTAGTGCATATTCAAATTGGCCGGGACTCCAGCTTCCTATGATCTGAATTACGTAAGGAAAAGCAGGTCATACACCCGGTACCCAAAAGGGTACCGGGGTGTGGCCTAACCCTGTGCGCATGCTAACTCGATCGAGCTTCCCATCGATGACGTAAGAAGAAACATGTCTACCACTTAGCTAGCGCAGTGCGCGTGTGTATGTTGCATTGGTATGCGTACGTATATGCACGTGGCACTTGTTTCGAAAGAGAGAGTGCTGATGGACTCGTCGAGCGCTTTTGGTGAGTTTAGAGGTAGTCTGTACGTGTTTTTCACACAGGCAAGGGGGCGAATACAGTGTAAGGCATGCTAATACGCTCGCGTGCGCCCGTACCTTGCCTGTATAATGGGAGGGCACACTCTTCTCTTCGCGCGTTGAACTTTCGTGTATATTATATGTACACTGTTGTATAATTATTGGGATCAAGTGTAGAGCAGAGAACAGACCCAGCGCGCAACGACTTCCAGAAGCCGCACAAGTCACGCGCCATAGGCCACGCCCCCCAAACCCATTGCTCTCGCACGAAATAACGGGAGGGGCTGCTAACTGAAACTCTTGCAAATCCACAGGCTATTTTTCGAAAAACGTCCAATGGAAAGCCTAGCGGCACCAGAATAGACACTTTGCGGTGGGTTTGAAGCATCCTCTCCCTGTCATGCAGATCGCTTGGTTCCAGACCAAGGGCCTTATTGAACTGGCCATTTTGCTACAGCATGTTCATGGCCTGTTGTTTCGAGGAATCTAAGGCCCTTGGTCTGGGACCAAGCGATCTGCTGATCAGCCGAGCTCGTGACAGAGATAGGATGCTTCAAACCCGCCGTAAAGTGTCTATTCTGGTGCCGTTAGGCTTTCCATTGGACGTTTTTCGAAAAATAGCCTGTGGATTTGCAAGAGTTTCAGTTAGCAGCCCCTCCCGTTATTTCGTGCGAGAGTAATGGTTTGGGGGCGTGGCCTGTGGCACGTGACTTGTGCGTGGGGGTGCGGTCACTTGTGCCGCTTCCGGAAGTCGTTGCGTGCTGGGTATATTCTCTACACTTGATCCTGTATATCCCGGTGTGTGTTTATCAGCCAAAGTTAGATCCAGTTTTACACCCTACTATTTGATTCAACGTGGAGCATGTTCCACCCCCACCCCTCTCCCTACCTCTAGTCTCGTCCCCAGACCCATCCCACTCACCACGTGGAAAAGGGGTCTGATGTATATATCTTGGTCCTAGATCTCTAAATGGAGATATCCAATCAGATTGCAGAATGGCCAATCAATGTCACGTGCCTCCATAGTCCGTGGACATTGGTTGTAGGTAGAGCCTCGCATACATCACGTTTCTGTACTGTGCATCGGATATGATGGATATGACGTCTTTAGGACCGAACTTCGCATCAAAAGCTACCAGTTCCCCTTGTGGGTGGAGCAGCTGGGGACGAGACTACCCTCCCTCCTAGTCTGACGGGGCCACATCCACGAGCGCTAAGCTCGAGGTTCTGAGTTCTTTTACAATGATGGCTAGAGCTTGGCTAACTGGCTATGTATGTGCATGTTATAACTTGGTGCAAGTGCAATATGACACGAGAAAAAAACAGGCAATTTGAACATGGAACTGCGTATAATCTTGGAAGGAGAGGAGGGTGGGAGGGATGGAGGAGGAAGGAGGGAGGAATAGAGGGCGGGTAGGAGGGAGAGGGAGGGGAGGAGGGAGAGAGAGGGAGAGGGAGGGAGTAGTCTGGTGGTGGAACCACACCCACGAGTGGTGTGAGGATCTGTTTGCAAGCTTGATCGCAATTTGTACCCTGCTGTAGGATTTTTGAAGCCCAATCTGATTGCAGAACGTCACTTCTAAAATGTAAACATACGTAATAACGTTATATCATGAGTACGTATCGCTTGCAGTCAGCATACAATTTTGCATCAGCCTGCCATTGGTAGACAGCAACAAAGTAGTAGGTGTCCTTGTGTGTGCTGCAAATAGACTATATACATGTCCTCACTTTCGTTGGCCAAGCAGTTTTGAGGTTTCCACAAGTATGTACGTATGTGCCCTAGTGACTGCCCTCCACCTTCTATTGTTGCTGTATTGCATGAAAGTGGTTATTGGTGGGAGTCTGATCCCACTGAACTCTGCACTTTTCCATGTGAGCTGCATCTATGTGTACCTCAATTTTTGTTGCAGGCAAGTGAATAAATGTTATTTTCCTCTGTGCCAAGAAGGTGGCTCACAAGAGTCCGGAGAAGATTGTTCTGAGAAAGTATATATCAGTGGATTGTAGAGAGAGTAAATATGTTTTTGTTAGTAGTTCTGAGGGTGAGTCAGAGTAATGTTGGGAGAGTGAGTTGGAAGCAATTGATGATGACTCGCTGTACCTTCCCACACCTGACCGTCCGTGGAGGTCAATTATATTGACTTGCCCAATAAGTTGTGTTTCCTTGCCTTAGGCAAGTTTTTAGACATGATCAATCAGGTTAGGGGCTGAAAAACCTCAGGGTGTAATGGAAATTTAGCTCCTACTGGTGTAATGTCTAAAAGGTTTGGTGGTTGTGTTTGTGTATCCTGTTGTTGTGATGGATGTGGGTCAGGAGGTGCATATTTAGAAACCTATATCCTGGACGTACAAAAGATATAGTAAGCAAATGTGTCCAGATTGCTTTCATTGTTGCCGGTAGTACTCACATGGGGTACTACAAAACACTGAAACATGCACTGGGCATTGATGTCGTAGGTCCTAATGCTTTCATGGATACGATTCGTAATGTGTATCCCATAGTCAAGTCGATGCTGGACGAAATTTGTGATGGCGCAAAACCGGAAATGAAAGATAAAAAAGAAGACGAGCTCGGGTCATGGAAACGTGCAGTAACTGTTGCTGATGGTACATGGCAAACACGTGGCGACATAGTAAAAATGCCACGTTCACCATCAGGAATTACCTGAATGGGGCTCTCCTGTATTATCATCATCTCTGCCAAAGGGGCAGAGACAAAATAATAGAGGAAGACTTTTACAAGGGCACGTCCAAATCTGAACAGGGGTATGCCGCACGCGTGACATTTCGGAGGGCCAAAGAGGAGGGAATGCAGGTTGCCATCCACTGGCAGGACGCTCACTCCTCCTCTGCCAACGCAGTGAGTGAAGTATTTCCTGACGCTGAAATAATGATCTGCGGTGGACATGCCGGAAGTGCACGCAAGGAAATCCTGGAATTGCGTCAGAAAATGAAAACAGCTTCAAAGCAAATGTTTGGTAAGTACAGGGCTAGTTTTCCAGCTTTTGTGAGCTGAGCTGTAAATGCAAGGGGGGCAACCACAGTGCTGCATGCGGTTGTTTGAATCCACCTTTGATTTCCAAAGCGCATACAAATTTCACCTCGATTTTGATGGCAAGGCTCAATCACAGGAAGAATTTGTGAAACGCCTGGAAGCACTACCTAAACATGCACGTGACATTCACGAGTGGGAGGGAGGAAGGTGTGACTTCCACCCACTTCGGGTAAGCACGTGCAAAAAGTGCGGGGACAAGGAACAAATAGAGTGTGAGGAAAAACCAGAATGAAGCTGGATTGTGATTTTCATGCACTGTTGTACGTAATTGAATGTACAGAGAGGGCTGCACAGGCCAGCAAACTGGTTCACCCCATCCTCAAACGTGGGCACTCTAATGCAGTCGGAGCCTCTCACAGCGTATTTATCAGATTCTGGTCCAAGGATATCTACTTGGAGAGGCTTCACTACCAACTCTCCACCAATCTTGGGTAGCCAACCTGACCTACATGCATGCAAAGCTAGGTACTAGTTATCACTGGCTCCCAGAGTTGTACCGACGCATGATCTTCCTGTTTTTGAAGGCATGGTCGAGGCGCTGGAAAAGCACAGTGCACGGAGGAAGAGAGAATTAGAGTTGGCCAAAACCACTCCTAAGAAGAAACGGAGAATAGAACTGAAAAACAGTCTGTACAAGACTCTGTCCAAACAGACTGTTCATTTGATAGCACATATGGTCCATGTCCCGAGCTCTGAGCTAAAAGTTGTAATGATGGACGTTGAGAAACAATCCAATGGTTCCGACTGCGGGGTTCTGGCTATAGCCTATGCGTTTGACATATGCAGTGGTATGAACCCTTGCAGTGTTAGGTTTGATCACAGTAAGATCAGGCCACATCTGACAACTTGTCTTGAGAATTGCCAGGTTTCTCGTTTTCCTGTGTTGGGCCATTGAGCTTGCTCAAGTCTTTCAAACCACTTGGAGAATCTTGCTCCAGTAATTCTAAGTGGCTCTACCTGTCCTGCACATGTGCAAAATTATGTTTCTACTAGAGTTTGCATGTGGCAGCGCCCACGTACATTCCATACATACTTGGATTATTGCCCGCTTACCCGGCGGAACAAGCATGGACAGATGGACTCAAGGCAGAGGTCGAGTAGTGGAGCACCGTCCAGCCCCAGTAGTCAGGACCTCCGTGTTCTTGTGTTGCGCTCTGGGGACACGTATCAGTATACGCAGCACGAGAGGTTCCAGTAGGGGTGAGATCCAGCCTCACAGCCGCCATGGCTCCGAGCTGGCTTCTGCAGACCGATACAGCTCTGCTGCAATAGTGAGGGACGCAAGGCCCGGCTGTTCAGGTGAAGGAAGGATAAGCCTACAGTATGAACCTGACAAAAAGTTCTGAAAAGACTGCTACTCGCGACAGAAGCGATTCTCGTATAATGCTAAAATGTATGCGCGAGAGCTAATGAATAATTAATTTTTGCGTCGCGCGTGCTGTCGCACCTCCTCTGGCTCCGGCCCACACATACAGCATCGCTAGACTCATTGTCTGGATCCATAATACACAGTATGTCCTAATTTGCGTGTATAAGGGCTTTGTGCTATATAGCACATGCTCTCAGGTGTATGTATGGAGTGATTGTTGCTAGGTTGCAGGCCCAGTAGACATACACACCCGTATGCACTAGCCTCGTCCCCAGGCTCTTTTGTGGGAGGGGAAAAGAGCCTGGTGCAGACTGTAGCACATGCATTTATAATCACTGAGGAATTTCGTTGGCCTTCGGATACTTTCGCTGCACGTCCATATATCCAATGAGTCTGGTGATGCTGTATACAAACAAAACAGCCAAGCCTTTTCCAAACCCAAAACATACGGCCGAACACTCTACCGTGGCCAGAGCTTTCTTTCACTTGGGTGTTAACCCTTAGCAGAGCCTACTGGAATGACTGGAAGGCGATAGAAGAAGACAATCATGCTAAAATCTAAGCCGGCTAGGCTCTGTCGCTCGCGCAGTATACGTAGCTGGCTTAGGTTTTAGCGTTATCGTCTTCTTCTATCGCCATAGAACAAGGCTTGGCTGTTTTGTGGTGTAGTAAAATAGACATTTTAGCCACGTGCAATGTTGTATTGCTGTCCTCCTCCTGGCTGTAAGATCAACATTTGGAGTGTGACATCACGTTGGTTGCCGAGGTTTGTTTGGTACATGCCCGTAACATTAGTATGCTCGTACAGTGTGTACCAGGATCTTTTCCCCTCCCACAAAGAGCCTGTGGACAAGGCTATTGTATGCACAGGTCTTCCTACACACTCTGTGCAGGTCACCATCACAGTCAGTGGTGTAGTACACACATGGCAGACATTAGGACAAGAATATGTGGGTATGACATTACTTTCTACTGTAATTGGTGAGCAACACATAGATCAGAGAAACACTACATGTACTGCTGGTTGTAGGCATGTGTGTAGCACTGAGCCTAAAAAGACTGTCCAGTAATAAGACAGCTTGTGGCTGTCTCAGCACAGGTAGGGCAGTGGGCGCCACATACTTTCTGTGTCAGTGTGGGTCACACTTTCACGTGCACAATGTATCCTGCAACCATGTCTCATATTCTTGCCCCATATCCTTACTACTAAAGTATGGCAATACAGGACATTATTCAGTAGTGTGGCTCTGTGATCTATGGTCAACTGCAGGTTGCTACTTGTGAGGCCACTCCCATATAGATTGGCAGCAATGAAAAAGAGATCAATATTAAAGTCAAAAGAGCCTTTGCAGCTGCATTTGTCACGCAATACATTACGCGAAACAGTCATGTGCACATCTATTTTCTAAAAAAAGTGATGATGTGATTATGCTATGCAGAATAATGATCAACAACTGCTCCTGCCAATAGGTACAGGGAGAGGTGGGGCAAAGAATTCTATGTTGGTGCAGAAGACGAACATGTTTTCAAGCTCCTGGGTCTCAAGGAGCTCATAATAAAAATGCAGAAAACAAGCATGTTTGCAATTAGCAAGTATGGGATATCGGGGGCCAACACTGATTAGCTATGTGTTCGAACTCTAACTCCGACTACATCATCCAATTCGTTCGTCTGATTGTCGTTATCCACATCCTGATTTTTGTTTGTGCATAATGTGTCCTTGCTTATGCAATGTCCATGGACATGTGTGTTTTTGTATAGGTTTGATGGTGGCAGGTGTGCGTGCTCATAGAGCATACTTGCCATCATCAAACCTTCTTTGTACACGTTTTTCCAGTACAATGCCTGAATTCCCTATAAGGAAAGCCAAGTGTGTGTTGAAGCTCGTCAGCCCTCTGACTCAGCCCTCTGCTAGTACAGCTAAGTGGGTGTTACTACAAGCCAATAAATGTACCTCATAATGTGGGTATGTACCAAATGCTATTATAATACTGCTTGTGTAGTGCTAAGGGCCAGGGCTAGGGCTATCAGAAAGCGTTGACTAGGGAGTGACTGCTGCTGTTGGTGTTAGTATATACAGTTA